CAACACTGTTCAACATTCATTGATATTATAAGTTAGCTCGTTATAAATAATATTATATTATTATTCAATTGTAAACAATGATTATCATTTGTATTTTTTATTCAATGACTGAATGAGTGGCTGATTAATCGTTTTCATTTGGCTTCCTAGTGAAACTCAATTTGATTAGTTTTCTAATGAATCATTTCAATTACCATGTTGTCGATTGTCAAAGTGCTCAGTTAATCATGATTTGTTGAGGACAACATGAGTTTGTAATCCATTGGACGCTACGATTAAATCAATCTCTCAGATTGTATTAATTTTAATCACAAATTTAATTTGTTATCCTGTGAGTTACTCTCTCTCTCTCTCTCAGATATCTTATCTAGTTTTCATCTTGTAATTAACTCTTAAAAGTTAATCATGAAGATTCAGCCCACAACCCACTGAATCGTAATCTCCCTGATTACATGTATATTTTGTTCATTAATAAGGTTACCCTTGGATGAAATTAGCCTGATCCAGATTGGCAAAGCCCACGAATGTTTATCTTACTGTTTTTCATCAGATTATCTCAATTTCAAGTTAATCCTCTCGATGATAATCAAAAGTTAATTGTTGATAATCACGACTTGACCAGTTATCTTATTGTTTTCAATCAGCTTTTTCTTAAATATTATATTTAATGGTAATTGATGGCAATATTTGATTACAATCAGTTGATTGAATTATGAGCTGATGATAATCACGAAGATAAATTTAAATGTATTCTTAACATGACTTTGTATCTGATGATAATTTCACTTTAAGAATCTGTTTCAGTCTGAAATCGGATTAATTCTGATTCTGTTTTAATGATCATGTAATACAAAAAATTCATCAAAGATTTTGTTTTAATCATTGAGAAGTATGAAAATCACTAATAACTCCTAATGAATGATAACTGAAAAAAACATGATAAATTCACAGGAAGAATGTAAATTTATTGAATCTTCAATTCTGGTTCCTGAAAATGTTCATTTGAATTTTAGATTCAGAAATAGGCGATTAACATAATCAAATTAAATTTGATGAATATTAATCACCCTGAAAAGCTGAAGTGAGTTCAATATGGAATCACTTTCATGGGCCAAATTAAATCTAATTGGTAGAAATGATAATCCAATGAATGAAATGATTCCAATTATGATTTAATTTGGTCCAACCTGATATGCATTTAAATCATTTTGATAGCTAATTGTAAACTACTTGAATTAAATTACTTGAGGATCAATTTAATTAAGGATACTAAGCAAATCATAATTGTGATTACTTAAATTACAATCAAATGTTAATAGTTGAATGTCACATGTGACCCAATAAATTTGATTTACAATCAATAAATAACTTGATTTAAGTCTAAATTATGGTCTCAACTATTAATGATAATCACATTTAAATTGTTCCCTGTTTACTTTGTAATCAATCAAAAGTTGATCACTTAATAAAAATTAGGCTAATCCATTACCTTTGCAGGTAAATCAAAGTAATCTAAATAATTATGATCATTATGATTCGTTAATTGTATTTAAAGTAAGGAAGTGATTAGAGAGGCTACGTGATAATTTAAATGTTTCAAATTCTAAGATTACCTTGAGATAATTAGATTGGAATCAATTTAAATAGTAAAACAAAACGATTATAATTTAATTGATTGTCTTTAAAATCAGGAGGATTAATAGAAACAGAGAAGTTTAAATTAATCGTTGATTAAATAGATTCACGATTAAAGATTAGCAAGACTGTTAACTAACTAATCCCCTAGACCTCCAACGATCATATTAATTTATTGTTAAGCTTAATCATCGTAGTTAATTGGGATCGCCGGAAGTATATCTAATTAAATGCAAACGTCAATATGTTTACAGATGAAATGTTTCATTGATTTATCATATTATTATCATTAGTTATCATTATTATCAACCTGAGCCCATCCCAGGTAAACGAGCAATTTGTTAATCATAATGATAATAAATTGTTCATCCTTATGATATTTACGGTTGTGAGATCACGTTTAGCCGATCAGTTAACCATATCGGTTGAAAATAAATTTGATTGTTAACAAGCAACATAATCAACTAACTAACTAGAGACTCAATTACTTTTCTACCTTGTTAATTAAAGTTGTCTTGAGATACCAAATTACATTGGAAACATTAACAAAGGAGAGGAAGAGGATGAAGATGAAGATGAAGATGAAGAGGAGGAAGAGGAGGTGGAGGTGGAGGTGGAGGAGGTGGTGGATGATGAAAGTTAAGGGTGGGACAGAGAGAGGAGAGATGAAGATGAAGATGAAATAATAATAGAAATAGTCTTTGGTTATTTTCCATTGTTAATGTTAATTGCTGCAAATTATTTCAACTACATGAAGCTGATGTTGATTATTAAACAATTTTGTTTCTACTCTGTTGTTGCTCTAATCATTATGATTATGATTATTTCTATGTTGATTGTTGTCGTTGGTTTATCAATGAATGAAAAACACGCAAGCCAACAATTTGTTGATCAACGGTTATTATCATTCTGTTAATAATGTTAATTGTGATTATTTTCTCATTCTCTTACAATCAAACCTCAAACAAATTGTTATTATTTTTCCATCTAATGAATTAACAGACCAAATGACAATTGAACCCAACAATTAGAGTGATCATCATTCAGTTGATAATGATAATAATAACATCAACCAGGTAATTTTAATTGTCAACAACTGGTTACCTGTTTTATTTCATTATTTGTCTTGCAAACCCAACAATTAAATCTGAATCAGATTTTAGCCTAAGAGTTAAATTAATTATCAACATTGTTAATTTGTTTGAGTTTTCATAATTTAAGATTAATTAACAAATGAATTTGATTTTTTAATTGTAAGACTTTTTTCCTCAAATACTAATTTAATTCCCTTTCAGGGTTAAATGTAATGGTTTAATCAATGATAATGGTGATGATCAATCACTTAATCAACATTAACTTAATCATGATGATTTTAAATTCATCACGATAACATAAATATAATCAAGGTAAAAGGTCATCATCGTATCATTGAAATGATCACTTCTTTTGCTTTCATCAGTTAATTATCATCATTATACTGATAACAATTTACTCAACAGTAACTAGGAAAAAATATGTAATTATTATTTGATTAAGGTAGTTAATTCTTAAATTGATTATCGTAATTAAAAACAAACTTTTTGCTGTTTATATTGATTAAATTACTAGAAATGAAATCATCATGATTAACAAACCAACATGATTTTCAATCAGCAACTTTGAATGTTGCATTTACCTGAGACTCGATATCGTTGATAATGATAATTGTGCAAAGCAATTAAAAGTTACCTTCAATTATTTGCTGAATGGAGAGACAATGGATCAAACTAATTAATTCACTTGACTCTCCTCTGCATCATCTTCATCTTCATCTTCATCTCCATCGCCATCAGCATCTTACCTGCAGAAATCCGGTTTCTCTTCTCAAGCGAGATTCCATTCGCTTCGTGTCAACCTCAACTTTCTTGTCTCATCATCTTCTCTTTCATCCCTCTCATCATCAGGCCTTTCTCTCTCTCTCTCTCTCTCTCTCTCTCTCTCTCTCATCGTTCTTTTTGTCTTCCTCTTTTCCTCTCATCACTTCCAAACTTCATCCTCATCTTCTTAGTCTATGACTTTTTTACTCTTCTCCCAATGAGATGACCTAAGGTTAATCAGCATTTCCTCTTATCTCTGTCGTTAACTACTTCATCTTAATCGTCTCTGTTTTTGATCATCATCACATTTATTTCATCTATTTCTTTCAATCTGATCAATTCAATTTTTTATCTCAAACAATTTTATCATCAATTCAAATCATTGATTTGGGTTAATCATTCATTTGACCTGAATTGACCTTCATAAAGGACCACAAATAAATTACCATTAATCTCGTTTATTATTTTTTTGCATCCACCAAAAAAAAAACGATCTTGTTTACATTGGTCATCAGGCTGGGAAAAGATTGACCAATGTATCTGAACCCAGGTCATTTAAACAGATTTATCTTCTTGTTGTTGTTTATCTTCCTCCTCCTTATTTTCTTGAGGGCTAAACGATGATTATGATGATGATGATGGGCTCTTGTTTGGTGGTCAAAAGGCCAAAGGTGAGTGAGAGTAAGATGAAGATGAGGATGATAATGATGGCGAAAAAGTGAATTCCAGCCGATGAAAAGTAAAAGAATCCCAAAGATGCGCTGAAAGAAAAAAAGATAACTAAGATGCTGAGATGATGATGAATACAACAGGTTATTTAAAGATCTTCATCATTCATCATTCTCATTCTCATCATCTTCATCTTCATCTTCTTCTTCCTAATCATCAACAGTGAAACAATTTCTTTTCATTGAACAAAATGAATCAACTGAGAACTATTATCATAATGTTTACTTTTGTTCAATTCCATCGACTTAATAGTTGAATGATTGGTAGACATTTGAAAGATCAATAATTAACCTAATTAACCTCAGAAACTTTTCGCCTTAATTATTTCCATTCCACTCTCGATGACAACAATTTAAGCAGTGATTCTAATCAATGATCAGACAAAACACATCAAAATCATCTGGAGAAAATTTTCAACAATAATTAAATTAATTAACTAATTAATCTTTTGTAAGATAGCAAAGATTTCAACTCAATCTAAATTGAATCGATGCCTTTTCTCATTACTATCATGTTATCATTAAATTCTGATATCAAATGATAAGAATTAAAATCAACAAGAAAAACTCTCAGTCTCTTGAATTTCTTATCGTCAATTTCTTTCCCTTTCGATACTTAAAGTTACTCAGAATCTTCATCACCATCATCATCCTCATCTTCATCTCATCCTCTTTCAATTTCCAAAATAATCAAAAATAATTAATTTTATTCGAAAAAAGTTATAAATGAATTTAAGACACAAAAAGTTAAGCAAAAGTTAAGTAACAATAATACTTTATGAAGATGAAGGAAGAGAAAAGAGAGAAAAAGAAAGAGAAAGAGAAAGAGAGAGAGAGAGAGAGTATGAAGATTGGAAAAGAGTGAGATTGAGAAAGAGAAGAAGATGAGATCGAGGGAGATGTTGTGAGAGAGTTTCTGTTGAGTTGTTACCAGTTTCGTTATAACTTTCATTCTGTTCACATCAAAGTCTTGCTGTTCAACATTATCATAAAACTATCATCTTCATCTTGATTAACATAGTTATCATGTGTTACTTTGATATCAATTTGAATTGTTGACAGTAATTAAGGATTATTATTACAATAATTGTTTGTTATGCAAGGTCAATCAGTGAAAACTTATGAGAATCCATGTAATTTAATTATTGGTAATTATTCAAATCACCTGAAAACCTCAACACAATCAACTAATTATCATCATTATTATTATCCTACTTGTCATCCATTGGAAACTCCGTCCACAACAATTAATCCAGTGACAATCAACATCATTGAAAATAATAACAGTAAAATTGATCCTGATAGTTTATTACCTTGTTTACATTTATCATCAATAATGACCGGAAGTAATAAAATCTCAATTGAATCCTTAACAAATAATTCAAGTGGTCATCTTAAAAACTCAACCACAACCACCACCACCATTGGTAACAATTTGATCAACAACAACAACAACCTTACCAACAATAACAATAATATCAACAGCAACATGAATCATATTCACAACAATCAGACCAACATAAATCATAATTGTATCAACACAATTAACTCCAGTGTTAATAATAGTATCAATAATGTTAATGGAACTTTGAATAATCATTCAAACTACACAACGACCAATAAATTGATGATGAAACTTTTACCTTGGTGTAAATTGAAGAGGAAACAGTTTGTTTTCCGAGATTCACTTTCCTGTGATGATATTTCATCTGTGATGTTTAGACGATCATCTGTCCAACCAATTTCCGGGTTATTCAATGATAAGAACTACCAATTGACAACGATTACATCTTCATCTTCATCTCCATCAACATCCACCATGACGACCTCAACATCGGTCACCCCTTCATCTTCATCCATCACCTCATCATCTCACTCGACCACTTCATCTTCCTCGATGACCATGGCTCGTCTCTTTACGGGTAAACGCAATTCAAATAACAACAAATCAAATGGTAATTTGAATAGTATTTTATCCTACACGATGACCAATCGAAAACGAAACTGTCACAATAATTCAATAACCAATGGACATTCAGGGTCATCGATTTCTTCTTATCCAATGGTCAGTTTTGTTAATAAAGGTGAAGGATTGGTTACAGTTGACTCAACTTTCGATCGAATTTTAATGTCCAATGAGAATGAGCTTTACTCCCTTGGATCAGCGATCAATAATCCTCATCATCATTCTCATCATCCTTCATCAACATCTTCTTCAGTTTCGTCTTCATTCAATAGTTTCTCCAATGGATCATCTTCCCTTTCATCATCCAAATCAATGGGCAATCTTGGTGCCAACTATGGACCGAGTTGTTCCAGAATTAATTCATCAACTTATTCAACCTCTGATTGTGATTTACCAAGTGTTTATGGTTCAATGGGTGCCAATGAACTGCCCCCGTGGTTTTATGGGCCAATTTGTAGGGATAATGCGATCGATATACTAGCACGTCAACCAATCGGATCATTTCTTGTTCGTGAATCGATATCGAAACCAGGCTGTTATGCGCTCTCGGTTCGAGTCCCGAAACGATTCCAAGTGACCGGAGTAGCTCATTACCTCATAATAAGAAGTTCCCAAGGAACCTTCAAAATCAAGGTACAAATCTATTGATCACTTTGACACCTCCCATTCCTTTAATCCCTTAATCCCAAAACCACTTAATGAGCACATTATCTAACATCATTTCCTGATCCGTTTTGATAACTTTTAACAGAATCAGATCTTTATACCTTGATTCCCATGAGGGAAACAAAATCCAACAATTTGATACTAAGTTTCAAAGTTTAATCGTTTATCACTTATCTTAATGACTTTGAGGATTGAGATGATGAAAAGATAAAATCTATTGGTCATCATTTGGTCATCAGAGTTACCAGAATCATCTCCCACCATCAACCTTAATGTTTTCTCATTTATTCCGAGATTTTTTTTTGCTTTTCTGTCTTTTATCAAACGCCTTCTATTCAATGTCTTCATTTTATCATCATTATCATTGTGATGATGAGATTTACAGTCAATTTTTTTGTTCGACTTTTGATCCAACATGAAATTATTTTAATCTATTTTTTGTTATAAGATTTGAGATGAAAAGATGATTAAGATTTAATTGAAATACTAGTCTGAGTTTTAGAAATCAATTGTTAATCCCTGAAACATTTCACTCTGCTTATCCAAGCGATGTTACCTAATGTTATATAATGATAAACTTTTCGTGTCCTATTGTCAGTCCACATCCGGTCTTCAGGTAATCACTTTTGTAGCATCAACAGTAATCTTAATGGTAGAGATGATGATGAGAAGACAAGTGAAAGTAAGAAAGAGAAGATGAGGAAGATTAATTTATCTTTGATCCGTAACGAAGGTGAAGGAGAAGGTGATTAGTTGGGTGGAGAAGATGATGAGAGAGAAAGTGTAATGGAAGAGAATCGAAAAATAAATGGTTCTCACTTTGATTTCCACATCAATTTGAGGACATTTTTTGTTCTATTCTTTTTTCTTATTCGATAAACTGGCGACACAAATTGAATATTATTTTTTATTCAACTTTTTTCTCCATTGAGTAAACACATTCACTCTCCTGTTTGTTAGATTTTACCCTAAGGGTGAAAATGGAAAGGTAAAGATGCCAAAAATGATTTCATCTTTTTTCATTCTGCCAAAAATAGTCACTGTGATTCAGTTTGTTGATTATTTGTCATCAAGCTACTTTCAAGTTATCATATCAACGTTTTCATCCTCATCTTCATCTCCACCGACAGAAACAATAAAATGGTTCAAACTTACAGGTAGGTCAATAACAGGCCTTCACTTTGAGAACACATCAGGACATTTCTTTGAAAGATACTCTGTAGACAGAATGTTTATCCGTAGAACCGGTAATTTTCGGGCCTCACTGTTCAGCCCATTTCTTCCTATTTATTCATCTTCCATCATCATTCTCATCATTTTTCCTCTGTATTTACATTGTTTATTCCTTGTCTTTCCTTCGTCTTCCTAATCATCTCTTTCTCTTTTCTACAAAAAAAACTTTTTTTCTCAATGATATTGGGTAAAGATCGATGTTCAAAATGAATTTCAAGCGGAACTTTTTTCTGTTTTGTTTTCTTCTTCATCCTCATCTCTCTCTCTCTCTCTCTCCTTTTGCTTCAATTTTTCTCTTTTCCTTTTGGCCTCATCATCTTCATCTTCTTCTTGACCTTTGTTGTTTACTTGATCGAGGGAGGAATCGCCCCTCCTATGGTTTGGCCTTTTTTACCTCTAAATTGCTATTCTCAGGTTAATTATTGTTTAAATTAATTCTCATCAACCTTGTGGATAGCTCAATCATCTTTATCATCACCAACATGATGATGGTTCATGTTGATCATCACGTGACAAGATATTGATAACAAGTGAAATGAATATGAAGGATGATGATGATGCGGTTGATGCTAAGGGAATAAAGATGATGAGAAACGAGAAAGATGAAAGATAATCATGAAAATCATAACTTTCTGATGATTATCAAGATTCCAACTGTTGAAAACAAAAGAGGAAACAATTAAGATTAGAAGAAAAAAAGTGAATAATTAATTTAATCGTTAATGAGATGCTGAGTTTGTGAATTAAAGTAGATACTAAATCAACATAGATTTTTAAATTAGCATTTGCCATTAGTTAGAATAATATTTAGAAACAATTAATTTATCAAGTGTGAGGAAATTGTTTCAATTATAATTAAGATTCACTTGACCTGGGTAACCAAAAAGCTTCACTTCTTGAGCTCCATGTTGAATAACTTTGTTCAAATTCTGGTTCCTCTGATCCGTTGATCCTTTTCCAGATCGGGATAATCTTTTTGATTTGATTAAGTAGATAATAAGTCGCTTCATGAGCTGCTTGTCGGTGGGCTGATGAGCACCCGATCAGAATTGATGCCTCGCACAATTTAACTAATCCTAATCTGTGGATAACATAACATTTGTTCAATTTGAATTTGTCAATCGTATGTTTAACTAATCGATTCATCATCTTGATCGCCATCGCTTCATAAGATTCATAGTAAAGTGAAGTTACTTGACCAGAAGTATTTCCGTCCGAATCAATTTCATCTTGACGAGTTACTCCAAGGAATAAGTTAATTGCTCCTGATGATGGAGTAGTTAGAAAATTGATTGCATCCGCCGATTTAATTGTTTCCTTAGTTAAACCAACATAACTTGTCTCCCGTTCAACCGCACTGACAGTATTATCGCTTGATGATTGTAGAGAATCAGAATCGCCCATTGTAACAGTTAATTAGATTGAAAATCGTCAAGATAATAATACTAAAAATAGAGATAAAAATAAAATTGACTGATTGATTTTTCCAAAATAATTGGTAAGATAATCAATCCAAAACTGGGAACGTTGACAATTAACAAGATAATAGACTTTGGCTCTCAATTGTAGGATCCAAGTGCCATTGAAGCTTGAAAACAATATCGTTGTTGAGGTAAACAAAACAAGATTCAATGGATTAACAGATTAACAGGTAACAACAATCAGAGGCAATTAATCAGTAAATTGTTCACAAAGCCTAAAAATTGACCCAACAAAATGATAGTTGAAAGTTTTCAAGAAGATATTCCAATGAGACAGTTAATTAAACCTAAGACACTTTATTGTTTTAACAAGAAAAATTAGTAAACATTAAATTAAACAATTAAAAGCTCAGCGATGACAAAACCAGCAATTAATTAAGTGTGTTGAGCAAACATATGATTAGAAATATAATGTTACCATTTGAACGCCATCTACATTGAGATTTTATTGCTAGAACCAAATTGAGATTAATTGAGAAGTTAATTTCAATTTATCTTTTTAATTGTTATCACCATTTATCAATCAAATTAACTCCTAATTTGTGAGTCTATTGTAACATTAAATTCAAATTGACATCTACGTTCAATCATGTGAATTAGTGATTAGTGTTTTTTTTGTATTCCATTTGTGATATAAAGCTGGAGGTTCCATTATGCTTTGTTATCATGTTCCTTGGTAAATATTGTAATAATTATGATTATTATCACTCTCTTATGATCATGATCATCACCATCATGTTGAACCTTATTACCTTTCAATGAAATGCTTATTGTTATGCTACGTGTGTACATGTTTTCCTCATCTCTAGTAACATGGTAACTCTTTATCGCTTCATCTCCTTGTAATATTTGTTATTATGTTTCAATGAATCTTTCAAATATCATCACCATTATCATCTTACGATTTTCGTTTTGATTAATGGTTCCGTTAATAGATAATCGATGAAATATCAATTGTAATTAACATAAACTTTCCATTAGCACTTCTATTTTCTTTCAAAAGTAATATCAATGTACCAACATGATCATATTTTAAGCTCATATTCAAACTTTTTCCGCTTCAAGTGATCATGATGGTGATGAGATGTTGATGGTTCGAGGTATTTATTGATCCATGATGATGATGGACTTTTCCTTTCTATTTGCCTTTGCAACTCTTTTCTCTGTCCTATTAATATCATCTGTCACATCTTTGGTCAAAACTGACCTTCTCTATGTCGATACTGTTTCCTGTCATCTTATATCATCCGGACCTTTGGTATGATGACCTTAAACCAGACAAAATCTTGTTTCTCATCATGATCACCTCATTAGCTTTTTATTATCAATGAGTTTTATTTACGTTTGTTTATCTTTTGTTGAATTATGATCATTGTGATTCAGTCAATTGATTTACATGAAACATGAAACTGATTGTGATTTTATCAATTTGAAAATGTATTGAAAAATTGTGTCAGTCAATTTAGTTAACATTCAATCAGTTGATCCATTGATTTTTATTCAAATTACGCAGTGAATATCCAATTCAATGAATGATCTGAATCTATTTCATCATGAACACTCTCAATACTTTATATACTCACAATCTCACTGCTATTGACAAGATTTTTTCTTCCTTCTTGTTGATCAAATGATTAATTTACATCTCAATGAAATTGAATGTCAGTTAAATTTATTTTCTTTCACTCAACGACAATTTAGATTATTGCTTTTTACAAACTCGACTTCTCTATTAACTAAGCAATCAAATAAACTATTTTACGATTTTCTAGTTCATCTCTCAACGAAATGAACACGCAATCTGCGTTTTTTCATCTTAATCGCGTGTTATTATTACGAAATTGAATCAACTCTCATCCTAATAATCGTCATCATGAAGAGATGATAACGAAGACACTTTTAATTGACTCAAGATGATTACATTTCCCTGATTGTTAATGAAAAGGTTAAACTGGAACATGTCCAGATAATAAACAAATAATGAGTTAACCATCAAGTTGAATGAGTTAATCAACCACTGAGAACTTTTTTTTACTATTTAAAGTTAATTGTTACGATGATTAACATTGAATGATAACAATTTCATTGTAAATTGTATAATAAATCAATTCTGTCTCTCTTTAACTAGACTCTTGATAGTCAACAATCAGGCGTATCATTAATAAATCATTTTACTTGTAACATTGTTTCCCATTTATCAATTAAAATAATACGATAACCATTAACTTAAATCAGTTTGAATGATATTATCATCATTATAACAATATCATCTTCAAGTTACAATTAAGTAATTGTTTTTGATTTATTTGTATTTAGTTAACTAATAGTTAGACTCATTAAACCTTTGCCGTATTTATTTCAAATAATATTTGGGTTTGGTTGTAACAATTTAAAGTAATTTAATTGCAATCAAAAGTTGTTGACACATAATAATAAGCTGAATGAGCACCACTGGTTATCTAATTGTTACAATTAACAGCCCAAATAAATCAGATGAAATGATTTAATCGGGTATTTTTGGTGAGTCTTTTAAATTAATCAGAATCCTAATTGTCATGATTGTGATTAAAATTTATTCTTGTTGATTATTTTTCCCTTTGAAACTTCATTTGTTTAGTTAAATCTATTAATTACTTTGCTAATTCAGTTGTTATTAAATTACAAGCATCCTTAATATAAAACAATTATCTGGTTAATTCTTATACACGAAAGGCAAATAACCTTAATTGTTTCATCTTAATTATCATCTTTCATCTTGACAATTAGTTGTTTCCTGTTGTAATAATAATGGCGGATAATTTGAAGCACTTTCAAAGTAAATATAATAACTAAAATTGAACATTTGCTTTTCCAATGATTTAGTTAATTGTTAACAGTTAATTTCTTGTGGCTTTGTCTTCATTTTTCTAATTACAAATTTATAATAACAATTTTAAACCTCATTTTGATAATTAGTTAATCCGGTTCACATCTTTTAATAGAAAATTAATCTTATATCGTTTTTTATTATTAATCATAAACAATTAACAAGTTGTTGACATTACCAAGGAAAACTTTTAATCGTTTAAATCCAATTGTCCATAACTAATCTTGATTAAACTGGAAGAACAGAAATAAATCAATTAACAATTAGCTACACTTAATTCAGTCATCAAAGTATCTCGGATCCTTTAATCAACAATTAATGTTTATTGTTGATTAAATTATAAATCATGATGATGAATATAAACTAATTTACTTTTCAACCGCTAGACAATTTAAGATTTTGATTGTCAGTCTTTACTTAATAACGATTAAAGTTAACCAAAAGTTATTACTAAATTATTATGAGTGACAATTTAAAAAACAAACAAAGTTAATTTTAATTAAAGTACATCAATTGGAGCTAATTTATCACCATCACAATTAAATTACACAGAGACATGGGAAGGTAAACAAAGAAGGTAAATATTAATATCTTGTTGATGATTAAGATGATGAAGATGATAATCATCATCATTATTATTAAGGATACGAAGATTATTATTATTATGATGATGATTTAGTTAAATAGATTGTGAAAATTTGAAGAGGCTCTTGATTAACTTTGATTACTATTAAACTGTTAACTGGTAGAATGGTGAAATTGAATGAATCATGTTAATTGATGGAGCAATTAAGAAGCCATTTATTAACTAATCAATGTTAATCGATCATTATCTTGTATCTTTCTGATTACTTTTCATGATGATTTGATTTTGTTTTTGTTTTTTGTTTCATCTATGATTAAATCATTTTGATAATGATTGTGATGGGGCCAATGATGATATCTAATTAGAAAGATAATATATTTGGATTACCTCCCTGGAAGCAAAAATAATGATTAAATTAGTAAATTGAGAATCAAATTAACTGATAATATGTCACCATTTCAATTGCTGGTCTCATATTATCATCGTCAGTATTGATTATCATTCATCAGACCTCATATTGTGTGTGTTCATTGGTGTTGATTACTATTGATAAACTGTGAGAATTGAACAGTTAATGTTAGTGTTTTTATATTGGTGATCACATTTATTAATTATAATTGTTTAATAATCTAATTACGATTAGTTGTTATCAAGTTTCAAGATGTCATCTAATCACCAAGTTAAGTCACGGAAAGTGAATAATAATATTTACCTTGAGAGGAAATTTTCATTTTTTTTCTCATTGATTTAGGAAATTTAATATTCCTGCAATTAAAATTGAATTAAGACAATATTTTATTCTCATTATTCAATTAACTGCTGGTTAAATTGTCATTGCAAAAGTAAATGATTTTGCAATCAAGATTTAAGTGCAATTAATTAACAGAAAACATCAATTGGGGTAACATTGTCAACTACAATTTCCAACATTCACTTGATTCATATCTTATCATCATCTCTATCTTCATCTTTATCCATATCTTTTTCATCTTCCTGTGATAAATGTCATTTTCTTTGTTGTTTTTTTTACCTGTCATCTTAAACTTTGGCTTTTGATCATTTAAATTGCTGTTTACAAGCCAAAGAAAAACAAAAAATAAGTCGATAAGTTAAATATTAGGGTGATTCTTTCAACTATTATTACCTGTCTACATGAATGTCTTAAAGTATGTTGATCCCAAGTGGTACAGGTAATAGTGTGTACCTGAGAAAAGTTGAAAGATGAAAAGGAAAAAAGTTTAGATAAATGATCCAATTCACTTTCACTTTGAAGGTCCAGTAATCGTTGTGATAGTAATGATACCTGAGGTTAGTTGACGACTGATAAATATCCTTAGTAAAGTTTCCTAGGCCGTTATGAGGTGAAAAATTGAGTTACCTGCAAAGAAGATGAGGAAGAGAAAGAGGGGAGAGGTATCATTGAGGCTCTACAGTTTTTCTTGATTTCTTTTTCCCTCTTCTCACTCTCTCTCAGCTTGACATCTATTTCCCATCAAGAAAAAAAGTTTTTCATCCTGATCTGAATCAATTGAAATATTACTCGGGCTCAGAATCAGGAAAAGGTATCGGATTGAATGGCGAACAGATTATATCAAATGATTGGATGAATTACAAACTCAGTTTATTTGTTTCTCTCTTTTTTTCTCTCCCATGAAAAGATGATCTTTTCTGCATCAACATGATGAGGGAAGAGGCTCAGTTTTTATTTGTTTTTCTCTAAAACATTTATCTCTTTTTACTCCTTTAACCATTTTGATCCTCATCTTTTATCCTCTTGCTCCTAATCTTTAAGGTCAATCCATCTTGCTCAGTGAAAATGAATTCATCTAATCCTCTCTTAGTGTCCTCAACAAGATTCAATGACAATCATCAACATTATCATTTTAAAAGCATAAAAACAACACATCAAGTCACAACTTACAGTTTTTTCAGGAGTATTCAAGACATTCAATCATGATTACTTTAATTCAGTAGTAAAATGATACAACTAACTTCAATTATGAGTTTCATTTGAAATGCAATAATAAACTTCACCTCAAACCCATGATCTTTGTCCTCATATTCTGACCTTTTCTTATAAATTCCAATATCAATGAAATAATCTCAGGTCTTAAAGTTTCTACAGAACCATTAATGATAAATCAAGTCCAGAATTATATCATAATATAAATTGAGACTTTATCCATAGACAATAACTCAATTTGTTGGTTATCATTTCAATCAGAGATGGAATTGTGTTCCAATGAATGATTTCATTTCCATTATGATGAGACATTCACCTTAAATATTATCTAATGAAAGATATCTCATGAATGTGAATTACTGACCTTGTTTCCTTTGTGATATAACATTTCATTCATCATAATCATGAGGATAATAATATCAACACCGAATCAACTGTGAACCAGTGACTACTTGCTGTTGATTGAGATGAACATGTTACCATGATAATATTATATCTTAGTTTCAATTGACTCAGGGTTAGATTATTCTGTTTACTCAATCCAAGTCAATCCTCTCAATTAACTTGCATTAGTTATCATTATTATTGACATTAAATGTGTTCCTAATCACAATCAACTCCTACAACGAACACTAAAATGTACAATGTATTATAATAGATTCATATAAACTTTCAATCCTCACTGATTAACTCTTATTGTTGTTGTAACAATAATTCACTAATCTATTGATTAAGTGTCTCTATTATCATTACAATCGTAATCATTAAGCCAATAAGTAAAGCTCATTAAAATAATTAATCGATAGTAAAATCCAATTGATTTGTATATCAGTTAACTCTAATCAGCTTAATTGCCTTTGTGTAGTTGCTGAGCTGATAATTAAGATTTGATTGAGTTAATTTAGTAACATCTCAACAATGTTATCAGCTGAATAAAATGTTCACTTTTTGTGTATTATAAATGAAAAGGATAAATTGAATGTGATCAGTTGTATTCAAATGGGAAAAAAATGAAAATCTAATCAATTATAATTTAATTCTGTATCGATATCGTACCAACAATCAAATCAAATTTCACATTATTAACAAATCAACTTAATTCTCGTAAATGTAATCAATCCATTACATAAAAATGTCATTGGACTACAATGAGAACTGAATTATAAGCCTGAAAATGATCATTTAATTGTGTTTATTGAACTTTCAAGCAATCAAACAGCAAATTGAATTGAATTAAATTAAATTAAACACACTAAATCGATTGGATTACCTTTGATTAGCTGTTCAAATAAAGATAATCATATGAATCCAGTTTAGTTGTTTATATTAATCACTGATATTAAAAAATATTGTTTTCCAGTTGAATGATTATCATTCCGTAATTCCTGTTGATTCACAATTTAAATTACTCTCAAATTTTGATTAAAAGCTTCATGAGGTCAGTTGAAAGTAAACATAATATGATATTTAAAATGAAAGGCAAATAGTTTACATGCTTGACCAACCATTTCGTAATCATGTTCATCTTTATCATTCTCAGAATCCTCATCAATTTGTATTGATACAACAACGATTACATCTGATTGTATGTTTCATTGAGTGTGTCAATTTGTGAGTTGATTATTATCCTTATTCAATGATCAGCCATTAAATGAATGAACAATTATCTTGCTGAGATCAATGATCATCATTAACTATTGTCAACATTATGTTTTTATTATTATTTTCTGTCTTTCTCATCAAATTAGGAACTTTAATTCAAATTATTGATTGAAATGAATTTATCATGAAGACGGTTAACAATTAGATTTAAATGTTACAAATGATTGATGGTTATCATCATATTCATTATATTTTTATCATGAAGATGAAGTTACCTGAATATCTAATGGATGACTTTTCTCATCATTTTTCATCCTTTTCTCATTTTTTTCTCTTTTTTGTCACATTTAAATTGTTCATCGATTTATCTTTCGCCATCAGCTGAGGATGAGATGAACTCTTTTTATACTCTCGCTCCATTTCTTGACCTTTTGTTTCTATTATCATGATCATAATGACCAACAGAATCTTAATTCATCTTTTGACATGATTAAATTAAAACTCGGAAAGTGAATTAACTTTTGTTCCTGTTGATGGCATGATATTAATCAAGGTGAGAGATCAATGTTAATATATTGTCGATGATCATGATGAACAACAATAACCTCTGAACAAGTTATTATGAGAAATGAATTTCTGTTTATCTTCAGGTTTACCCGATTCTTTATCCATTGGGGATTCATATTGTCAACAAGATTTATTGATCAAGTCAACCGAATGAGAAGAAAAACTAATCTTCATTGATTAATGTCAATGGGAAAAAAGATGCTGATGTTGATGATAATCATCTTCATCTTTATCTTCATAATCATGAGAAAGTATCAGCCTATTGAATAATACCAGTGATGATTATCAAGATTACCTTTTCATCTGATGAGTTTGTAAAAAAATCGAGGATGAAATTTACATTTTCTGAGATTCTTTTAGTTTCTTGATTAACTGTTTTCAACTTAACTTTTACTGTTTGTTGATAATGATTAATATTAATATATGTTGATGATATTTAAAGGTGAGTCTTGATTGTGATGTTAATTAAGATGCATGATTGGTGTTTAATGATAAATCAATTGGGTTGGTTCATCATTGAACTTCATCTTGGACTCATAGTGAGGACAATTTTAATTGCCTTACAGGTTATGATGATTTATCATTAAATTTGATTCTAATCACTTGATTGCGTGATTATCATTTTCATCATCAGCATTATCATCTTGATCAAATTCATTGAATTTATCAACTATCTCTTGTTTCAAATTATCCAATAATCAAAGTCCTATCACAATTTACTTGATTAATCAAACTGCCTCTGGACAAATTAAATTATGTAAAGTAGTTAAATTGAGTTTCGACCTAATCAAATGCTATTAAGACAACAATTAAGACTTTATCAACTCAATTTGTCGATAGTTTAGTCTCTTTGATGATAGAAACAATTAACTAATGATTAAGCTATAGTTAATTGTTGCTTTTTTTACAAGAATCGACTAATTAAATTTTCAATCAGCTCATTTTAATTGGTACTCGTTGAATTTTGATTCATAAATTGTTACCTGACTATTTTACTAATGATATAACTAATTAATCTTAATCTTCACATTGTCTCAAATTTAATTGTAGACATTTTTAATCACATTTATAATAATCACCAACTCATTAATCATTAATTTTTCGCCTCTTTAATTACTTAGGGTAACAGTTTCCGTCATTAATTAATTCATCAAATTTGGATAAATTTTTCCAACCTTTTTCTAAATTAAATTAAAATAAATCAATTTGTTTAATTTCGTCACAATTAACTGATTGTTTTTTTTTCTTTCTCATGTTTTCCACAATAGGGTTTCACCAAAGAGTTTTCCAGTCTCAATTCACTGATTGTCCATCATTCAATCATGCAGGAACTTTTACCATGTCCACTTGATTTATCAACAATTAAAATTCACCAACATAAAAACTCACAAACAATTATAATTAACTCAAATGAGGCTCAAACTCAGCTAATTGAAGAGACGGCGATACCAACAGACTCAACATCCACATCAACAACCACCACAACGGCAACTCAGTCCGCAACAATTAACTCAACATCATCAACAACAATTACAACGGCATCATCATCATCATCATCATCAACTATAACACCAACAATTAACTCTAATTATGATTATAATGACGACCTTCTTGTTGACATCGATTCAGATCCTGATTATCAGAGGATCTTGACTTCATTCCGGAAAACTATGGCTACATGTAGATAGACCGGCTCAGTTATTTCGACATCTTGATTTAGTGGTAAATTCAAATGTTCAAAATCGATTCGAACTTTTTTTCGACTTTTCCAATGAGAAACAATCAACATTTTCGATCCTCTATTTGTTCAGTGTTCCTCATCCCATAAGCATCGTTTTGACCTTAGATTGATAGACATTCACCAAGAGATTTGTCCAGAGATTAAAGATAAAGGGACTTTCTGTCAAATGTCACAATTAAAACGTCCGTTGGTTCAGATGATTGTATTGATAGTATTTGATGAGATTAGACAATTTACCAAAATGTTAAATCGCGTTAAGTTTTTTCTCTCTTCTTTTCCAACAATTAATACCAATTCCAATCAAATTAAATGAGATAATAACTGAATAAAATATTACATGAAAAATAGATTGATGTTGATGACGAGCAAATAGATAAGCAATTAAGTGCCATCAATACTTGTTAATAGTGTCGGTAGTTAATCAATAAAGTAAATCTAATCAAAATTGAGATGAAGAAGCTCAAGCTAATTGAATGAAATATATGAAAATATTAATTACAATTGAAGAAAAGGCTGATTAATGAGAAAGAAAGAAAAATACAATTAGTTACTTACCTAAACACACCTTAACCTTGTTTGTTAATTGTCTCAACGATTAATTGAATTAACGTATGACCTGAATATTTTTTCTTCTTCTTCTTCTCTTGTCATTTAACTAATAATTATCTTCGTAACAATTTGTTAATCATGTTTCTCAATGGAAAGAAAAGTTTACTTTCAGTGGATATTTTGTTTTCTTTCATTGTTTTCATACTCATTTCAAGTTCATTGGAAACGACGACATTTGATCGGCCACCGCTTTGGAATCGAAGTGACCCGATCTTGGACTCTAATCGAGATGTCGAGATTTTAACTGCTTTTATCCTAGTCAGGGGACATATTGTGATCGGACCGGAATCGGAAATGGATTTGGATTCAACGGTTTTGGACAAGTTAATTACTCATTTGTACAAATTGCAACGACGATCACTTTCACCTTCCGGTTTGATGCTTTACCCAGCGATGGAGGAGCGCGATTTGGGCTGTGAATCTTTACCCTCGCCGGTTAGTTCACTTTGTTCCGCTGTTACGAAAGAGTGTCTTTCGGCTGCCGATATGATATCGATGATGCCCAAGAAAATTGTCTCTCTTCACCAAGCGTTAACTCGTCTCTGTCCATTGATCTTATTTCGTCAAACTCGAGTTCTTTGTGAAGTTGTAGATTCTCATGCTGAAGAATTATTGTCGGCCTCAAAGAAGCCCATTCTAGTTGAACCTTCTTCGGAAAAAGTTTGGGCTTTTGCGATTCTATTTGTAACTTTGTCCATCGTTGTTTCCATGGGTGGATTGATTCTCCTTCCATTTCTACATCGTGATCATCGACGTACTATTCTGACTCTTTTCGAAGGCTTAGCAGCCGGAGGATTAGCGGGATCAGCGGTTCTTCATTTGTTCCCTCAAGCTTTTGGAATAGCTGATGACGATTATCGTAAATATTTTTGGAAAACTTTTCTTATCTTTGCCGGAATTTACAGTTTCTACATAATCGAACGGCTTTTGAAGCTAGTCCTATGTCTCAAAACCAGGCACGGCTCTCGGGGTAGACGTCGACGTAACTCATCATTCCGTGACGAAATCGATCCGATTAGTTTATTGTCAAGATCAGCGACGCTTGGATCACCTCCAGGTCTTGCATCAGGTGTACCAAGATGCTTTGATTCACCAAACACCGAGACTGAAATACTTGAGACTTTATTTACCTCACCAACCGCTCACACGGACTCACCAAAATTTCAAATGGATGCGAAACTTGCAACGATTCGTGATCCAATCACGTTAAAAAGTATCACAGTCCAAGACATGGGTCCAGCAAGCGACCTTGCCGTTGTAGCCGCAGCTTCAGTTGGTGGGTCAGTTGCCGTTGCGGGTAATCTGGTTCCCGGTTCATCTTCGTTAGCGACCGATATCGATACAATTTTACGAAAACAAGCATTCGTTTCCGATATGGCTGGAAGGAGAAAAGATCAGTACACTTCGACTCGAGCGATTATCGATGCTGCTGCTTGGATGATTGTTCTTGGAGATGCATCACTTAACTTCATCGATGGCCTTTCGATTGGTGCTGCATTCGATCGTAATATACTAGCAGGTATCTCGATCTCAGTGGCTGTCATGTTAGAAGAGGTTCCTCATCGTCTAGGAACTTTCGCCGTTCTAATCAGAGCGGGAATGGAAATGAAACAAGGCTTTTTCTGGATCTTCGTCTCCGCCTGTACACTTTATCCTGGTCTGATTTTGGGAATTTTCCTCGGTGATGCCGCTGAAGAGGAATCGCCTTACATATTTGCTCTCGCCGGCGGTATGTTCTTATACATGGCTCTAGTCGATGTTATGAGAGAGATGAATCGATCCATGGAAAACGCCATTAGGAAAGGAATTAAATCTTCATTGCAAATTTTGGCTCTTCAAAATGCCGGGATTGCGATCGCCATCTTATGCTTATCGGTTTTAGCTCTTTACGAGAAAGATATGGACTTCGAAGCGGTCGAAATTGAAGAGTTGACTCAAAATGCTCTACAATGATCATAAATTTCCGCACAACAATCAAATCGAAAAAAAATTACGAATATTTTGTGTCATCAAATCAACTTGACCATCGAACCAAATATTTGGGTTATTCACCATAAGGTTAATTGATGATGATCGAGATGTTTAATTTAATTGTAAAAAAACGAATCAACAAACTAATTACCAATCATCATTTGGTAAAATCGATCAATGAAAAGTTATCTTTTTGCTGAATCGAGTTCTGGTCAAGTTTCTCTGGACGATTCTTGATTTTAATCATATTCCAAACAATCAATTTACTGTTGGTTGGAAAAGATTAATTTAATTTGTATTTTATTTTTGTAATTTGATTATTAAATTAATAACAATTATCTTTGAGTTTGTTTTCAAATGTGACAAGATTACGATAATATTAATACAAGTGAAGTAATTAAAATAATAATAGTCAATGGCGATTGATAACATTGGATGATAACGAATTATGATAAAAAATGGATAAATGAGAGAAGAGCGAGAGAGAGTTTATAGTTAACAATATTTTTCTAACTAATTAGTTGATTGTGATTATGATTTAGTTTGGGAGACATCGAAAAGAGCTTCTTCCTCTTCGGATTTGATTCCATTAACTCCGGACATTTCTTGATTCCCTTTAATCGCTTCTACTTCGTCCTCGTCGTCGTACAAGTTTTTCAGTCTCGAGGCATAAAATAAAACTCCAAGGTCAAAACAAGAACCAATCATGACCAAAGTAAACGCAGTTCCATGTAGATAAACTCTGAATTTATCGATATCATACAGCCAACAATTACCAGTTTCTCCACATGATTCCTCCCAGACTAAACAAGCAGCATCGGTGACGAAGCCAAATATTATCGGATAAGGAATATAAGCTATTTTGAAAGGGAACAATTAGTAAATCGTTTAGACTGGATGAGAATAGAATTATTTCTTACCAAATATTGCCATGCAACTACCGATTAATCCCATTGCAAACGCTTTGTCCTTTGGATCAACGGCTCTGATGAAAAAAGAATTGAATTGCTTATTATATCAGTAGTTAAATTTGACAATTAAGCTCGTAAATCGTGTTACCTTAGAGCAATGATGAAATTACCCGCCCAAGCAGTTGAAGAGATAATCCCAGCGATTCCAATAATCGTCAGGTAAAGAGGCAAAGAATTACATTCTTGTTCACAATATCCACTAGTTACGATATCATCCATTTGCGGTTGACATGAACATTGTGAAAATCCCTGTAACAATTAGGATAGATCAATATTAATATAATGTACTTGGTGATTCAATCAATCGTTTGGAAATAATTTTCGCTTACTAAATAAGATGAATTCGATAAGCTAACTTGACAACCAGCGTAACAAGGGCTGAAATAATTGGTCTTTTTATCAGAACCACAGATTGGTTGGAATACGGAAGTGGTACAAGAACAGTCTCTATTACATCCGGTCAATAATGAAGCTCTAGAGTTGGTCAGTAAATTGATGAGAAACAAAATAAATAAAGAGGAAAATGAAAGCAGTTCAATCAACTCACCTCGCTGTGTTTTGGTCAACGATAATGTTACCAAACTTTGGTGCTGGACACCCGATGAACATAGCCGCTAATATGAATACATTACAAACCATTTCGATAATTACAACATAGGCGATTAGCACTTTTGGCCTTGGACGTATTTTCGATATCGCTAATCCTCCGGCAAATATGCCGATCACTTTGAGAACTGAACTGGTCGATCCTGTAGACAATTAGTTAATATTAAATATCAAAAACAATGTTTACAAATATTTGTTTCAATCTCTCAACGACATATAATTGTAATCAAGATAGAAAATCAATCGAATAAACAAAAAACTCTGAATTGATGTTGATATTTTCATGAGAATTAAGAATATTTTTCATCACTATTTACCTAAATCAGCAAATTCGTTAATAATTAGTATTTATTAATGTTAATCATCGACAGTTAAGTGTAAATACTTGACAATAATTAACAGTCAATCGAGTTATAATTTACTATGATAAACAAAAGAATTGACTAATTGCTTGACAATTTCCTGAATGAATAATATTTACAATCCATATTCGTGATAATTTAATATAATTATCAATGAATTTAACCAAATAATCAACAAACAATTAACTAACCATCACTATGCTAATATAAGGTAGGATATCAACTTAATTATTGTATCAATACTTATCAGAAGTTATGATTATCTGTTAATTGTTGGTAAGAAAAAGAAAGGAAGTAATTAATTTCCGTTCTATAATTAAAGATGTTGTTAATAGTCAAGTACAATTAAACTGTAATTAGTTAAATTGACAATCAAAAGATGAAACAATCTTTCATCTACAAGACTGAAGAGTTCAATTTGTGTTAGATAAAACAAATTAAGATAATTGTGATTAAGTTTCAACAAGTTTCAACCAAAATTGTGGTTAATTGTGACATTTAATTACCTGTAAGGAAGCTCGAAGCAGCAGCTGATTGTCGGAATTGAGCTTCGATATACCGAGTTTTGGTAATATAATAACCCGCCCAACCGATGACTCTCATCGCCCCTCCGAGTGTATCAAATACGAGAACAGGGTTGGTGACGATTCTCTTGAAAGTGGCCAGAGCATCTAAATTGTTGACGATAAACAATTAGTTTGACGAATAAAATTTCCAACCAATTACAGTGATTTACCTGGAAAACTCATTTTCTTCTTGGGCTCTTGCTTTTTTCCTCCCGATTTCATGGTAACCGGAAACATGAACATCGGAATCGACGATAATAATATTCCAAATCCAATGATAAAGAACCCGATCCACCAAGCACCGACCCACCGGGGATCATTTCGAGGTATATTCACTTTAACTGTGGAAATAATAATTAAGAGGGAAAAAACAATTAACTAATTTCAATGGACCACTTGAGAAAAAAAAACTTGATGATTGTGAGTTAATTGTTAATATCACCATTAGTATTATGGATCGTTGTTAATCCCTTGATTAAGATGTTTCCAACAATTAGTTAATTGTTAAATTCAATTACATTAGATACAATCATTTAATTGCTATAAAAATTTTTGCTGACAGTAAATTAAGTCAATGATAATCAACCTAATGTATCAACAATTAGTAGGTGATGGTAATGTTAATAAGTTACATTTGTTTACCTTTTAAAATAGTTAAATGATTTAATTTGATTGACAATCAGTTATAATTATTAGATCTAATCAATGTTTACTAACCACTTAAACTTAATCACATTGCCTTTTCATTTGATTGTGATTTCATCTTAAATCAACAACATATACAATTGATAACAATTAAGACTAATGATAAACAATGGAAAAAATTTATTTTTTCCTCCCTTTTAAACTTTGATATTTGTCTGATAATCAATGGATTAACAATTAAAACTCTGATCCAGTGATTTGATCAACAATTTAAATTGATTGTAACTTACTGGTTGGATTTTCATAGAGACTCAATGAAAAAGATGAGAGCAAAAAACCAAGAGCGACACCAGAATAACGGATAACCATAGTTGTACCTAATGAGAGACAATTAAAATTAATTGAATGATGGTTAATAAATCATTGATTAGTCAAATGATAGCAATTAACATCAAACTATAATCTAATCTGATGTTAAATCAAACAAAATAACCAAGGAAAAGATTGAAGAAAATAGCAAATTGATTGTCTACTAGACTTATTATTAACCAAAATGGTCATTTCTTGTATTCCAATCATTAATTTATCATCATAATTAATCACAATTTAATACAATTCAATCCATACTCTCAATTGGGTTCTTAATTAGATGATTGATTGATTTTACAGTTCTCACTTTTCCACAGCAAATTGGTAACCATTGATTGTCTGCTGAGAGAAAATCACAATCAACCAGAGCAATTAACGAACTGAGTCTAATCATAATTACCATTAGCAATGAAAATTGTCACAGTTAATCAAATTTACTTTTCAAATTGTAAAAAATCTTTCGATATCATAACGATTTATTGAGAGTTTTCTGGTTAATTTTAATTTCTGTTCAATTGTTGTCAGTTAATTGTGACTCTCTCTCTCTCTTTCTCTTGGTACTTACTGAAGTAAACGGGTGAATTTTTCTTGTCAACATTATCATCTAAATAAGGGACACCAACAACCCAGAAAGCGGTGTTACCCAAGCCATTGACGAACGACCCAGCCCAGAACAGAGCATAAGCACCGGTCATAAACGTGTGTCGATCGGCATCAAGACAAGTCTCGGGTTTGCCATCGACTGAACAAAGATCAAATTTAGTCGATGACATTGAAGCATTTGCTTGTGACGATTTAAGCCCAAGGGTTTCAGCTGAGAGAAGGTGAGTCGCAGGTCCATAAAAGAGATAAGGTAAACCGGAAACAATGGACGATAGACCCACTAAAACGGTTCCCCATCCGATTATTTTAGGTCCATGAAATTTGGTTCCAAGATAACCGATAACCGGAGACATTACCATTCCCGAAATATTGTCGGCGATTAAAATTAATGCCGATAATTTTGAAGGGAAAGCAAATCGTTTCTCTAACGTTGACATTACTCCAATTAAATAAACGAAATAAGCTGATCTCATTGTCGCGATTAACGAGAAAATGGCCACGAAAATTTTAGGATTAGCACATTTACGAAGGAATCGAGGTCGCCAACATGTAAAGCCACAGGTTACTTCGGGTATTGAAGCAACGGAAGGACGAGGAGCGGAAAGGTCAGTAGTACTTAGATGATTTATCAGATCGGCCATTTTAATTTCTATTGATTATGAGCACCAATCAATCAATTAAATAATAACAATAATAACAACAATATTCGAAGATGATGAAATCACATGAAAAAAAAGATGATGACAGGAGAGAGGAGAGATAATCAAATAATTGAGGAAATGTCAATGATGATGATTAACGAAACTCAGAGGGTCGAATCATCCACTTAATCTGGTGAAAGTGGAGGAGGAGGAGGAAGGATAATGATTGAAATACAGTAGATTTAGCTGTTGGTCTGAGAACTGATTTAATCCGAAAAGAGCTTCTTGTTATTATTTAAACATCGACAAAAGCCTAATTATAATTGTCACCATCATCTCAACCTCCTCCTACTTCATCATAATCAACACCATCTCTCTCTCTCTCTCTCTCTCTTGATCATCTATCAGATGAGATTATATTGTTCAATTGGCTCTCAATGGTGTTGCTTTTAATTCAGTTAAACTTAAAGCCTCTTATCCCTCCGTTGATATCATTTTCATCTTCCTTCCCTTTTATCATCATCTTTATCTTCATCTTTTTATATCCATTTATCTGTGTATTGTACACTTGACAAGAATAACGGTAAATTGTGATGGGAATATTTCAGTGATTACGAATCGTCATTCGTTGGTTAATCAACTTAACTTTTGTTTTTCTTTCTCTCTCTCTCTCTCTCTCTCTCTCTTGTTAGTTTTAATACTTTTTACCTAATTGTTGATTGTTAACTTTGTCTAAATTTAATTGTAGTACTTTAAATCGATCATTTAATTATATGATTAATATGTGATAATCTTTATGATCATTATCAAGTGAGGGTTAATTTGATTACAGAAATGATACCAAGGGTAAATTGGCAGATTATTTGTAAAACAATTATTGCTATTAAATTGATTGAGATATTGATTAAACAAGTCAATAAAAACTGAAAGTATCTCATCAAGAAATTAATTAATTGTTAGAGCATCTTTCCGATTAGTTTCTTCATTGTTTCTAATCACTAAATAAATGAAGTTATTAAACAGAATAATCAACTGGTTCGTTAATTTTGTTAATTGTCAATTTTTCATCAGAATCTTTGAATTTGATTTAATCGAATCAATTTGAGAACAAAAATTACAAAAACAATTAAGTAAAATTTTGAACAATATCCTAATTTCTAAGCACAGGCCATTCATGAATTAGAGAATAGATTTTCTTTTAGACAACAAATATTGTTAACTGCAAAGCCAATTACTAAAATCCTTCTAATTACTTACAAATAAGAAAAGTCTTTATAACTGAACTAGCGAGAGGCGTAAAATATTATGATAAACTCGTGGGACGTTCAAAGGTTAATTATGAGGCTGAAACTCTTAATAGGACAAAATTTGCATAAGCTACTGTAGTTACGATCTAACCAGATTAATGTATCACGATAATAACTGGGAATAGAAATGAGGAGTTTTCTAAGCATCGAAGGTGGTACAATAGTTGTACAGTTGAAGTTATGAATTCGTTAAAACTTTGGCCTCCGCCTTAAGTGTCGTTTTTTGTTTAAAATCGAAGTGTTTAGCGGACTGAAAGTATCAGTTCGAGTTAACATCCATCCAGTGAGCTACAACCAAATCAATCGTTTGTGAATAACAGTCAAAAACTATTAAAATAATAATCAAAATGAAAGTTTTCGCTGTGAGTTGAAAAAACTAATCGAATTTATTGATTCATGTATTGTCTCTGATTTAATATTGCTTTTCTCTCTCTTCGTGATTCTGTCAGATTGTCGCTCTTTTCGTTATCCTCGCTGTTTCTGCCACCATGGCTGACCCATGGAAGAAGGACAATCACTGGGGTGGTCATCATCAACACGGAAAAGTTGGATACAAAGTTGATGTAAGTTTTGTGGATTAATTAATCATATTAGTCGTTCTCATTGTTTATTTGAAATATTAAACATCTAAGGTTCATCATGGTGGTTGGGGAAAACACGACAAGGGATGGACTGAACTTTACGATTCCCGAGACAAAAGCACTGGATGGAATTTACATGGCCATGATAACGGCTACGGTCATGGTTATGGTCACAATAACTGATGGAAAAACTAAGAACTTTTAACTCAATCGGATTAACTTATTTTGTTCATCTATCTAATTTATTCTATTAATATTACAAATTTAATATGAATTCTATTTGTAATTTTAAGAAACATAAAGTCATACAAGACAATTGAATAATTTCAAATAAGTAGAATGTTGGATTTCCATGGACTTCCATTCAGATCATCAGATTATTATCACGGAACTTTTAAATTGATGACGAAAAATATCAACCAACTAGTGCAAGTATCTCGTAAGAGAAGAGCCAAAGAATTATTAGAAATTAATTGAGAGGAAAAACCTAATTTAAATTGATTTTTTGCCTTTACTGTTATTTCAAAGTTGAGACTCATCGATAAATTGAATCGGCTCATTCCTCTCACGTTTCGTTAAAAACAGGGCTTGATTAAAATGTAACATCTCTTTGGTCCTTGGGTGAATAACTTACTGTGTTTACGAAAAATGAGTAGAAATACAGATTAGTTGTTATATCGTCCGATAGATTTCACTAGAGAGATCGTTGCAACTGCAACAATTTAACCTCAAGTTTGATTGTGACCAGAATTTGATCAGCAGATTAAATAGAAGCACAATGATTAGAAAAAGATACAGGGGTGATTTAACTTGTAGATTTTGCTCCTTGTCTTGTCTATGTAATTAATAGTAAACAAAAGATTCACAGGTATTTTTTTACAGATTGTGATATTTCATATTCATAAGTTGTGTCAATCGGACGGACTTTATACTTTTCTTGAACTGTTCCAGGTCGAATGAAAGGTCGTTAAGAGCTGCAATTTAGCGTATTGAAAGTCGTATTTAACGTCGAGACGTAATCAATCATTTCCTTTTCCCATCATTTTCCGACCTCAGAAGTTTTCTGAGCCCTCTATAGCATTTTAAGCAGCGTAAATTCAAAAACTAAAGTTGTAGCAAATGGAGCCTTACGAGCAGTTGGACGGAGCCTCAAAACGAGTCGCTCTTGTAAGTGAGGAGATCTTAGTGACTTGAGTGTTTTAGTGTTCTGAGCAAGAACAATGAAATAACATTCGTTTATTTGTGAATGGCACGATTACAATTCATTCGCGGCTTGATCAGAGGAAGATCGATTAATCGATCTAATGTACCATTTCGAGGTAGAAATTTCAATTTCAACCTCAATTGAATATTCATTCACTCAGTTGAACATTGGAACAAAACAAAGAAAATAGTGACAATCAACAGCTGATGGCGTTTTTCGTAGTTTCGTTTGAGTATCCGGAGTGATATAACATCAGATGATTGCAGATCGCATGATGAGGTTTAAGCCAAAGTGTATCGCCGGAAATGAACTCATCTACTAACTTGTTTCGATAGAGCTCAGAGCATTTTCAAAGAATAAATTTGTGTGCATAGTTCGACTGTATTTTGTTTGAAATCTTCATGATTTGGTGAAATTAATATTATTAGTTGGCCGAAAAAAAGTTTATTGATAAATTTCGAATAAAATAGTAGCTCAGTTACACGATTTTAAGAGGTCTGATTACTTTTTGATTCGAACTGTTAAAGATTCTTATAATCATGATATCTCAAGAATTATTAATATTATTAATATGATCAACACTCTTTCAGATTGATTATTAATTTTCTAATTTAAGGATAAAAATATGAAACTTTTTAGTTAAAATCTGGTAGATTTTCTTTTAAATTTGAAAAATTGTCTAATGAAACTTTTCCAACTACATTAATATTATTAATTGTAATCATATGATTGTAACTCTTTCGTTATTTAAACAAATTAACCGTTAACCTTGAACCGTGCAGTTATTGATGATATTCGCAATTAATGAACACAAACGTGACCTAATTCCTTATAATGATCAAACAATCAAGTTAATCAGCAGCAGAATACAAGATTGTCTTATCTGCTACTTCCTTCGGATTAACCTGGTAACTGTAGGTTAGTCTAGCGGTTAATATAATAGTTCATTGAATCAATAAATTGCTCGCAATTAGCAAATAAACAAGTAAATATAATGATCATTTCAACGTGAACGTTTTATTAATCGATTATCGAAGATGATAAAGAGATGAAGAGATACATAAAGATAAATGAAAGACCGGAACTAAAAAAGTATATTTCATTTGGAACGTGTTGATATCGATAATCTTCAGCTACTATTTAAATTTTAGGCTTAAATAGTTGCGATAATTGTCTGAAGGAGTGAAGATACTGATGACAATAATGATGCAGATAATGATGGAAGAAGATGAAGACACCAGGAAATCTTGTTTGCTCCTTTGGTTTCATCAACGATAACTATCAATTAGCCGACAACAAATTGTTAAAACTCTAATTCTGAGTAGTTAAACTACAAAACAGAATCAAACAATCAAGGTGACATTTTATTTCAATTTAGATCTCTCAATGTTTCAAATTTAGTGTTAGATTTGATTGTTGCTGTTTCCATTAATTTGATATTTTGTTTTCTTTCAACTTACTCTTCAAATCATCATGTTTAAGTTTCATTTTGATTGTTTGCTGCTATTGACTCTTTGTGTGGTTTCCAATTCCGGTGATTATGGTCTGAATCGAGGCTCCAACGATCATGGAAATAACAACGAAATGAAAAGTAATCATCTTAATCATCAGCAATTAACAGGAAGATATGTTTCCAATGTTGGTTCGTACCGATTAACACCGGATGATGTGGCCGTTAAGACTTATCGTAACTTATATTATAAAAATCATCAACCAGTTAACCGGATTAACTCAAATGTATTGAATCCTCTTAATAGTAACAATGTTAATTTCATGAAGGGAATGAACAATCGTTTGCGAAATGGTGCCAACAATTTAATCAATTCAGCTCCAAGTTCAAGTGTAACGAAAATGATCACATCGGCAAGTACACTAACCACAAGTACTTTGTTTTCCTCGGCATCACCAGCCACACCAACGATTTCGACGACTTCACCACCAGAAAAGCCTGTTCTTGAATCGATCTCTGACTCTTTGGCTCCAATCGAGGGTCGATCAACACTTGATTCAACAATTAAATCAACAAAATCCAGACCTAAGGTTCAAATCCCTAAATCGCCTTCAACTGAATCATTTCAAGATCTAATGTCCAATATGACGATACATCCAAATGGGAATAAAATAATTCAAGATATTTATCGTGATAATGGTGAGTTATTATGATCAAAAAACAACTAACGATCAGTTTAATCATTTAATTAGAATGTGAGTTATTTAAATTCCCATGTTACTCAAGGCATAAATCAGGTCGATATGAACTTTGGGTTAATTTTAATCACTATAAGTTATATCAATAGTAATTAAGCTAATCATTGAACCAGATGAATTATTATGCTTGGAACTGATTTAGATGAACATTGAAATCAATGGACAAGTTGAATAATTATCTGATTCACTTGCGTTTCAATCTTATGAATACTATTAAAATTGAGAAAAGAAAACAAAGTCAAAAGTTAAACGATATTTAGTATAGTTATTATTTAATTATTATTAATCATCAGCACCAAATTAATTGCACCAATTTTTGCTATTCTATTGATTATTAAGCAATTTCTCATCACCTATGTTCATCACGTATCGATACAATTCAATTAATTTTCTATTTTACTTTTTACTTTGATTGTTTGTTTGATTAGTTTTCGATAATCAAGAGCGCCAGGAGCAAGTTAAACAAATGTCCAAATGGATGAGCTCGAGTCCTTCAAGTGAGATTCGTTCAGGTCCAAAATATTCGTTGACGAATCGAAATCAGAATCAACACCAACTCAATGATTCACTTCCGATTGAGAGAATCACCATTGTTCCCAAATCCACAAACCATTCGAGTGACCATGGTAATAGTCACAATGGAAAACGAGGTAAAGGTGAATCCAATCAACAGAATCAACATGCACATAATACTATCAATAAGCCGGAAGCTTTGGTCTTATCGCCTTCTCCAAGCTCATCCTCATCCTCATCTCCATCACCTTCTCCCGTTGCTGCTGCTTCTACATCGTCTAAACCTGCATCATCGGAAAATAATTTATCGACATCAGAAGATGACGAAGCAGCCTTATTGGACGATGAAGAGGGATCTGCGTCGAATGCTGAAGCAGCCGGGACCTTAAAGACTCCACCCTGTGGTAAGAATGGTCGCCATTATTGTATCTTCCGTGAAGATTATCCGATCAAAGTGGTCACTGAAGTGACTCGCTACTACAAGTGGCCATTAGAAAAGCTATTCCGTGATCTTCGTAACCAAGTGATGCCTAAATTAGCCAACGATAATTACGGAGGATTAGTTTGCGACTCAATTACTAGAGTCGTTAGACCGGGTTGGGCTCGAAATACAAATAATCGATGGTTGGTTGTAATTAATACCGATTCTTATCAACAATATGTTACTGAAGTTCTATGTCGCCATGGTTCAGGCTCTTATTGTAACTTTATCCCTCCCTGTTATCATGCTACTTGTAGACAAAGATACAACACTCAGAAGCTTCTAGTCATTGATCCATGGAATCCATACAAAGGTCCATTCTTATCTGAATTTTTATTCCCTTCTTGTTGCATTTGCCATGTTTCCGATGAATCTTTGACCTCGCCTCGTAAAACGGTGACAGTTCGACCTGATGGACGAAGTAAACTTGATGATCCACATCGATCTGGAATGACCTCAGAATCATCTACGGAAAAGATTGAGTTGTAGATCAACGAGAATCTGTTTCTTCAAATGTTCAACACTCGCGATAGAAATGAAAATCTCCCTCCGACAATTTGTATTGCTAACGATTCATTTTCTGTTTACCATTTCAATGAGATCAAATTAATTTATTTCAACTCCACTTTTAATCATTTCAACTCAAATCATTCTAACGATATAAATATTATAAACTCTCACCCTCGATTATCTGTTTCTCTCTCTCTCTCTCGATTTTCAAATGAGAATTTGAGTTTGAATAAAATTTAAATAAATTCCTTTTTTAATGGTGATAATTGAATAATCATTTAACACTAATTGTATTGCAGAATCTCATAAGTGTAATGATAAAAACGATACAATTAAAAGTAATCGTGCCTAGTATTTTGTCGGAACATGTTGAGAGTGGTAATCCCTTGACAATTGTCTCGATAAACGCCTCGGTTGGTAGGAAATACGGTTGAAGATATGATAACGGGCGAATGTAATACGGTAAAGCGGAAGTGGCCCACAGAAAACCGGAAACTGTTTCACCCATGAAAATATAACCTGTTAAGATTGAATAAGTGAACGTGATGTCAAAACCAAATGTCGCAAATAGGAATGAGACTAATACTGAGCTAGTTTGACTTAGCGACAATAAAAACCAACCAAAGAGAAATGGCCCTGGATAAATGGTCGACGATAAAATGATTGGTAACAAGAGGATAATTAGACTCGATAGGACAGGTAATATACAGGTAATCAGATAGGCGATTAGCAATAATTGGAAGGGAGATAATCCAGTGGATAGAGTTCGTTCCAAAAGGGAAGGTCGTCTTTCTGAATATAAAACTGGCAGCGCATAAGTTAAGGTCACAATAGAAGAAACGAAGAAAATTGATCTTGGAAGATGATGATTGGCTTGATTGAAAAAATCGTTCGCTTTTGGTTTACCAATGATTGCTTTTTCTTTGATTATTGGTTGATTACCTATCGCTGGATTAACTTTTGCTTGTCTTAGTACCGACCAAGTCCAATTATTTGTCGATTGTTGTAAAAGAGACTCAATCAGATCGTTGTATATTGTGTTGAGGCCACTTGATATGTATTGAACTCGAGCTGAATTCATTATTGTTTCATTTGGTAAATCATGATCGGTTTCAGCTCCAGGGAAACGGTAACGAGATATGAGTGTGAAATTTTCAGGAATCAAAAGGTAACCATGAATCGATGATTTTTTGGTCTCAGAATCGGCAATCGAGGTTGAATTGTACAACTTTAACGAGATTGGATAAGTATTGTAAATTTGAATAAGATCAGTGGTCGAAAGTAATTTGTCTTTAATAACCAGGCCTAAGTTAATTAGATTTGGTGTTTGTCCAAAGCAATATGAGAAAAGGATAATTAAAATTAATATTGATATCACATAAGAAACTATTGATCCATAAGACGCGATGTATTGGTTAATCATTCTGTCTGCGAGTGATTTACATTTGAAAGCGTAATTGTAACAGTCAATTAGGCTTAATGATGATGATTTATGAGCCAAGCTGATTAAAGGATCAATTAAGTATGGATTACACACTTGATGTAGAAATTGATCTTTTAGAGTCAATTGTTGATTAGAACTATTATTTTGGGGCAAAGGTTGTTCACATTGATTGAGAATTAGTTGATTGTTGTTTCTGCTGGACAGAATTAACTTGATGAAAGCTTCTTCCAATGTGTTAACCTTTAAATTGTCCATAATTAACTTTGGTGATCCTTTTTCTATGATTCGACCGTTTCTCATGAAAGCGATTGAATTTGCTATTCTTGCCTCTTCAATGTAGTGAGTGGTCATCACAACTGTTGACCTTTTGTGAAGACAAAGTTGATTCAGTAATTTGATTAGTTTAACTCTGATTACTGGATCACAACCAGCGGAAGGTTCGTCGAGCAATAGCAATTTAGGCTGGTGGATTATTGCACAAACGAAGGACACTCGGCGTTTTTCACCACCACTTAGATTAACGATAAGACAAGATTCGTTAGGAAGATTAAGGTAATTAGAGAGTTGATTGTATGAGGTACGAATGTCATGTAACGACATCGAGTGAAGAGAACCAAAGTAAAATATTGTCTCTGTAATCGATAAATTGTCAAATAGATCAATGTTCTGTGGCATATAACCAATCAATTGATGGTCAACTCTTTCGACGGGCTCACCCAAAACGGTCAAGTTACCAGAAGACACTTTAATCAGACCTGCGATACACTTAAGGAAAGTTGTCTTGCCACAACCCGAAGGACCGATTATACCGAAAAAATTTGATTCACCGATAGTTAGATTAATATTATTAAGAACTATATCCAATCCTGATTTAATTGAATTTCGGGTAACAAATAGATTCTCAGATGAAACAATTGATTGAGAATCGGGTTTAGGCAAAGATGTTGATGGCTGATAATTAGTATGAGAATCGCTGTTAATATCGTTGGTTTCACATTTCATGTTGATAATTGAAAAATAAGATGAATCGTTTTCATTCAGTTCTAATTCATTCATGATTGACACTTTAAACGATAATTAAAAAAGAAACGTTTAATTTAATTCCTTAATTGACTCTAGAAAAATTGAATAAAAAGAGTTTCGAAAGAGGAAATGATTGTTTCTCTTTTCGACAAACTGTTAATTATTCACAAATTTGATTAATAGGATTTTCTCTCTATCGTTTCTCTTTCGATTTTTGTTTCGACATTTCATGTTCGATAAACAAGGAAGTAGATTTAATTCAAAACTAACGATTATTAAATTGCACTTGGAAGCAGTTAATCATTGGCCCAATCAAACCAGCGGTTATTATCCAATCTAATTAAATTTAATTTCTCTCAAATATCCAAATTAATTGAATCAATGTTTCTATTTTTCATAAGCTTAATGTTCACAATGACAGTTCAATTCACCAGTGCGGCTATTTGACAATTGTCCTTACTTTTCATCGAAAAATTCGCACGAGTTGATCTGAAGATAATCCCTCGTAACGAAATAGTAAAAATTAACAATTTTATTCGCAAACTTTGAGTGGCCGAGATAAAAGTCGAATTTACAATTAAAAACTGATTGGAATACAATTTGTGAATAAAAGATTTCAATGATTGGAATAGGTTCTGTTACTTGCAATATATTCCATGAGTTATGGAATTAAAATCGCTCTTGGAATTTAAAGTGACCCTTTTAATAGTCTTTCTCGAGCTAAAGCGGCAACAACGAGTCCAGCTCCTTTACCACTTCCATCTTCGGCAAGAAAATGGTCAAATTTTCGTCCCGGGGCCAATTCTTTGATAAAGTCGGTCATTAGTTTAGGGACTTTCGGGTGATGTTTGTATAAAGATCCATCGATAGCGATCTTGGTCAATGGTTTATCGATTCTCTCGATTAAAGTTGAAAGAACTAAATGAAGTTAAGAGAAATGAGTGACCATAGACTCGAATAAGTGATGATTTGTACTACTCACGAATTCCGATAAACAAGGCCGTTCGAACTGATAAAATGGCACAAATGTATTTGACGATTTCAACGTCATCATTTGAGAAATTAGCGTATCCAAGATTCTTAGTGATGATTTCCTTGGTTTTGGCATTATTTTCGTCTCTGTAAATAGATGAATGAATAACAATTAAACACAATCATTGCCAAAAATGAACGGTTACAATTAATTTACTCGCATCATCTTTTGGTACAAGTAAACTTACCCTTCAATTGTGGAAATATGTTCAGCAGTAAATGAATCCTTGTTTTTCAATTGTTCGGTGACTTTACCGTTGAATAGAAGTCCTTTTGATGCCACTTCGATCATCACGCGTCGGGCGAGATCACCAATGAAAACTCCAGAAAATAACTTTTCATATCTATAGATGGAGGAAGATAATCATCGAGAGATTTTATTTGTAAGAAAAAACAAAAGTTCTCGAGAAACTTACGAAAAAGATCCTGGAAAAAGAGAATCTTGATCGACTTCTTTATCGAATGATGTTTTAGCGAAATCAATACAACCATTATCACCGAATCCTCCACATTCAAGGTTGATTAAGACTCTTTCTGACCCGAGATTTGTATTCTTCTTGAAACTTGTAACTTTCTCCACCTTCTCCAGGTAACATGCATTGAACCCACTTCCCATGATGACTCCAACACCACAGTCTTGATCGAGGTAAATTCCTTTGACCAAAGTACCACTCGAATCGTTCAAAATGGCTGCAACACGAATGTTAAGTCCCTTTCGGTCGATCGACTTTTGCAAAGATTCAGCAGCATTTTGACCGATTGCGTCTTTTATATCGTAACTTTTGGTCCATGTAACCAATTTACCGACATCAATGGCCTCTTGTTTCATCGGATACGAAAAAGTGAATCCCAATAATGTTGTTTGGTCCTTTAATCTTGGATAATCTTCCATGAAACTACCAACACATTCAGTGATATGATTGAATAACTATAATTAAGTGCGAAAATTAATCAGATTTTAAATTCATTATTGTTTACATTTTATTTTCTCGAGTGTTCAAACATCTCAAGTTTATGATTAATTAAACATCTCAAGGAATCATCTTCTTATCAAATGTCCTTCAAATGACAGAACCAACTTTAATCTTACTACTCGACAAATTAATCGAAAGAAAATAAATCACATGTAAATTAATCTGCATTAGTAATTGAATTTAGAAGCAACAATTAATAATCATAAATATGAATAAGATAAAGTGAATTTTTCAGTTAAAATTGCTCTCAAGCTACAAGGGTTTGATGAGAAGAGAAAGAAAGAAAAAGGCAATTATATTGAATAATTCTCATTAAACACGTACAAAAACACGGGTATGTTATCTGCTTGTATCAATATAAGAAATCTACTTAGTAACTCTGAGCAATCAGAATAACGATTGACTCGTTCTAATCAAAGTTGTGGTTGATTTAAACGACCTGAAGTTCATTGGTCACATTTGATTGTATGAAAACAAAACTGTACATAAAAAATACTCAAGGTGATGAGAAATGACGGTAATCATGAGAATCCTGAACATCACTGGAGACTAATCAAGTTTGGTGACGTCTTTTGATTAACCTTGAGAGTATCAGTAATTAGTGGATATTTGATATGAAAAGATTTAAATATTGATCAACGTACAAAAAGATAAGCTCATATCTGTTGAACTAAATCTACAATTAACATGGTTCACTTAATTGACAATCGTTTCCATTGGTTGTCATGTTTTTCCTCATTGTTAATTTTATCTCTTGGGAAAAAATCATTGGAAATGAACAACTCACAATCAAATCAACACCTTTTAAATGAATCAACAATTAGATAATACAATGAACGAGAGACTGATAAGCTCATTGATGTGGACACGGTGACAAAGAACTTAGTTAATTAACTAACCATTTCCGATGTTCCTTTCCGCAGTTCATCAGGAATATCGTAATACTTGACGTTGAATTGGTCAGATTGATTTGGACTCAATGTTGAGAGACAAACACGGAAATTGGTTGATCCTAAATCGAGTGACAGAAAGTCACCAATTTCTTGACCATTGGGCAGATTCACGATGTATGTGTTTATCATGTGTAAGGAACACTCTTTACTTCCAGCTTTGGATGGATCATTTAATCCCAGGTTAATCTCATAAAGAAATTTCTCTCTAATCCCATTCAATTGATCTTTAGTTAACTTAAATCCTTTGGTGATTTCATTTACCTGGAAAAACAATTTCTTTCTTCAACAATTGATTCTTTATAAAGTTGAATTCTAATCAAATCTCTTACCTGTTTTTCCAACGATTCGTCGGATAATTTCAATATGGGATTATGGAAGGACGAGGATTCAAGAAGATGAGCCATTGGAACAGCAAGAAAACAGAAAATCAACTTTTACCAAAACAAGTCAAGTATTTGATCAGAACTGAGAAGTTACAGAGAAGGAGAATGAAGACAAGATAAGAGAGAAGAGAGTGAGATAGAGAGATAGAGAGAAATTGAGTGAGAAAAGTGAGATTAAAACGATTGCGAAATGATCATGATGATGATTAACTAATCAACGAAAACAAAGTGAATTAAGATCGCGATTAGTAGAGGTAAAGAAGGTCCTTCTTTTCATCAAACTGTTGATTTGGTTTCTTTTTCTTTATTGGATTAATTTCGTACTAGAAGATTTTTCTAATTGTTAACTGATTAAGTTAATCATAAGCAATTAATCATCTCTCTTGATTTATACTTGAGATATTAATGTCTATGATATTGGTATTAGAAACGTTATATGGGTTATATTTTAATTACTTGATAAACAATAACAATCAGAGAGACAATTAACTCTAGTTTACCAATTTTCATGCTGAACAATTAACTTTATCTTGTTGTGCTCGAAAAGTTCATTAAATGTTAATTGCTTTTGGATCATTGATTTGTTAATCCAAATCGTTAAGGTAAAAAATTTCACAAAGAATTTATTTCCAATTAATCTTAATTAACCTGTTGGTTGATTTCGATCCCTTGATTTAATGGAATCAGATTAATCTGGTTCCAAATGAATTATATAATTAACTAGGTAACATTTTCCATTCCTGATAATTATCAAATCTCGAGGCAATCAACTATCTAATTGTCCTTGAGAAAATACTTGAAACAAGAATCATCTTTGGTCTTTTCCCAAATTATATAATCAACTAAATCGCTCCAGGCGATTTAAGGATGTAAACAATATATTAATTATTAGTTTCACTGAAAGAATATGAATCAATTTTCAACAAGGTAAACAATTCAATCAATTAGTTGTTAACTCATGATTATTTTCATTGATTAAATTACTGATTGAAATCATATGATTACTTTGATTCGATGATTGACTTTTAATTGCATCAAATTTGTATCTTTTTTGGCGAACCCGATTTTCTAATTGGCTGGTGTTTAAATCTTTCTCTTGTTACTTAATTACTTTTCTTACTAATTGTAAATTAGTTTAATTAATTGAAATTTTCTCTTATGTAAAAGTTTCTTAATCTTCCCTTCACCTTGTTCATTTCTATTCTTTTTCATTTGCAGGATATTTTTAGAATTATTCAGCTAACAAGTGACTTGTTGCTCTATTTTTGTTAATCTTCACTTTCATTACACTTAACATCTTAATTGTTAACGTTTAACATGTTGAGAATCCACAATTGTGATTGCAAATTGATTGTGATTAATTTTTACTCTTTTCTAGTCTCAAATTTAGTTCAGTTTTCATGATCACATTGAACACTCAACCTTTCGTACCAATGTGACCCTCGTTTTTAATCATTTCTGGCTAATTATTTATCTAATTGTTGTTTTTTCAACATCATGGATCCGAAATGTTCATCTACAAGTGGTTTCGTTAAATTAATCATCTATTTTTTGATATTGATTAGTCTTTCTTGTGAAGTGGAAGGTGATGTTTTCCCAGGTCAACAAAGGCCTCGTTATGGGTCAACTAAATGTCGAGGTTCCAATTCAAGACTCGGATTCAATCCTGATATTCCGAGAATGGCTCATCCTAATAATGGGGACACAATATTTCCAGGTAAGTTGATCAGTTGATTAACTGAATTAATGGTTAGAATTATGGCTCTTTTATTAATACATGGACAATTCACCTAATTTTTATTGAAATGTTTCAGCTTCTGTAAGGATGTCCTGTAATCGACGATTTCCTGGTTTTTATATGGACAAAATTTCTGGAGACGGAGGTTTCAAGATAACTGTTGTCGATGCAGATCAATATTATACTCCTGGCAAATCGTATGAAGGTGATGGTCACTTTGTTTATTTTTCGTTGATAAATATTAATTATCTTTTCAATTACCTCTATAGTTAAACTCGGTGGTTCCCAACAGTTTAATTTATTTCAATTAGTTCTAGAAAACGGAGGTCCACCGCCTGATTCTGAGGCCGAAATCAGCCAAACTCTCAGAGTTGATGTTGGAAGATTCATGGTAAACTAGTTGTTGGTTATTGGTCTTGATTCCTATTAATCAACTGTTTCTTTCAAATTGTTTAGTTATATCAAGATGCAACAACTCGATATTCTGACGATTGTCCCAATTCTGTTATGCACTCAGCGAATATCACCAAATTCAATATTCGAGTCAGTTGGAGAGCTCCGCCATCAGGGTCTGGTTGTGTTCTGATGAAGTATGTTAACATTTGATTGTGATTTGCTAATATTTTCTCGAATTAATCAATTTAATTGTACTTTGCATCTCAAGAGCGTCAATTGCTGCTGCACCAGAGATTTGGTTCAGTGATGATGGAGGACTAACTCGTCGATTATGTCCTGATACGTCTTTGTCCATTGATGAACAACCAGAAATTCTTGGTCAATGTGATGCTTGCGACGAAGCTAAATATCAATTATTATTCAGAGTACTTTGGTCTAAATTCACTCATCCGAAGCATATTCCCGATAAGTGGTTGTCATATTTTTCTAGTTTAATTGGTGCTTCACATTCAAATGAATATCGAATGTGGGAATACGATGGTTACGCTTCGAAAGGATTAAAACAATTGGCCGAAGATGGAAACACAGAACTTCTCAAGGCAGAGATTCGAGAAAGTGTATCAAAGATAAGGTAAAAAAATCGACGATGAACTGATCTGAATGACACTAAATGAGTTTTCATTTTATCTTTCATTCGAATGGAATTAGAACAATCATCAAGGGCCGAGCTCTGGGATTGAATGACCATCGAGGTCAAACATTTGCGATCTTCAGAGTTGATCGGGTTAATCATTTACTTTCTTTTATATCGAAACTTGGTCCAAGTCCCGATTGGTTTGTTGGTGTTTCTGCGTTCGAATTGTGTTTGAGAAATGGTTCATGGTTATCGGAAAGAACCATGAACCTTTATCTCTGGGATGCTGGAACATCTTCTGGAGATTCTTACCAATCTAATCCTCGACCTACTCTTCCACCGGAAAGAATTCATATGATAACATCATCATGGCCTGGAGATGAAGGTCAGTCACCGTTTTACGATTCCACGGGTGCGAGAATCAAACCGTTTGCTCAAATCACAGTCAAAAGATTGAGAACTTACCCAAGAACTTGCGAGGATCGCGGAAGTTCATCCAACAAATTCAGTCAGAACAATTCAGGAGATATCGAAGAGCCGTTAATCACTGATAAGAGACGTAAGTTTAATTTTCACCATAATGATCAATTGATGTTTCATAATAATAATTAATTGACTTTTCCATGATCAGCTGAATGTTCAGTTTCTGCATGGACATTAATGCCTTGTATTGGTGAGCCATACGAAGCTGGTGAACAGATTCGTAATCGATCATATATCAATCCTTCAGCAGCACAATTAATGGGTTGTCAGAATATCTTGACTGATAAAATACCCTGTATGCCAGGGTGCAATGGGGAAAATATCTGTTCATTGTCTGAATGGGGACCTTGGAGTAGATGTGATACAACTTGTGGCAGAGGAAAACGTAATCGTCGTCGACATTTCATTCATCATGAAGCGGGTGTTTATTGTGATTCATCATCATTAATTGAATCAGAGGAGTGTCATGAATGGAGTGATGATTGTTCAGCAAAAGAAGCACTGGAAAACGCAATGGAAGATCCGAGATGTGCGACTACCCCTTGGGACGATTGGTCACAATGTTCAGTAAATTGTGGCCTTGGTCGAAAGTATCGTAATCGATATTACCTAACTCCTAAATCAGCAGAATTTTGTACCAAAGAATTACATCAAGAGATCAATTGTCAAATGGGAGTCAAAAATTGTGACCCAAGTGAAAATGTTAATCTTCCGGTGGCAGAACCAAAATTAAAGGCAACGGGTAAATCATTTTTCACCTTAGCCAATTAATTAATTGTTCAACTTTCACAATAATCAATGAAAATCATTTCTCTGTGTACTTTTGTCGATTAGATGTTTGTCTCAAGCCACTGAACACCGGTGATCTCTGTTTAACGGCCATGTTGAAAGATCCGATTCGCCGTTGGTACTACGATCAACCGACTGGACTTTGTTTACCCTTTAATTTCACCGGATGTGAGGATATGTCCAACAATTTCATGTCCCAACAAGATTGTGAGATATTATGTCGACAAATGCTCAACTCGGAAGGAACTGTTGTCACTAATTAAGTCGATCAATTTGATAAAACACTATTGATATTTCACATTTACTTGGATAAAGTTCAACTTGGGTTGGAATCAAATTGTTATTTAGGTGGTGAAATAATTGATTGCAAGAAATTATGATAATTTAATTTAATTCTTTATTCTCAACCAAATCAAACGAATGATCAAATATAATTTGATTACATTGAATAATTAAATGATTTGTTGTCTCCGGTGTTTGGAAGGCATTTCGTTGATTCAGTTGTTTGTTTCTTTTTCATCGTGATGGTCACATTGCTCTTCCGGCGGATGTGATTCTTCGTGACAATGGCCTCCGGCATCTTTATCCTCGCAAGGGTGTTCGTGACACTTGTCGGTCTCACAAATTGTCTCCTCACAATGAGTATCTTCACAACATGGATCAGTAACAGTGGCAGCGGCGGAATCGATTTCACTTGAAGACATTTTGGTCGAAACAATTAAGTTGATTGGCAGTTGAAAGAATTAAAATATTAATCAATTGGTTGGAATTGCAAGTTGATTGTGATGATTATTGATGGAGAATCAATCAGTTTATATACTGGTGACAAAATTAATTAATCACAAGGATGAAGACGAAAAACAATCAAATGAAAGAGAAAACAAAAGCTTCCGTAATTAAATGAGTCTAAGGACAATTAAGAAAGAAACTCTTTCTTTTCTCTTTCTTTTTCTCTTTCTTTTTCTCTTTCTTTATAACTTTTTTCAAAGAGAAAAAGCAAAATCAATGTTGACTAATTTCTGTTTGATTTTTTCAATTTAATTTATTGATTATCATTGTTTAACCATCGAATTAATTTGTTACGTTCGATGCCTTAATTGACGTTTTAATTGTGTTAGTAAACATCATTTTCCAATCAATTTGTTTTCATTTATTGTTTTTCCCCTTTACGTGATATTTATGCTTCTAATTGTTGTTTAATTGTTGATTAGACAATTGTGATTGTCTTTGTCATTTAAATTAACCTTGATCTCTATTGGTTTCTACTTTTTTTTCATCATTAATTTAGTTACAGTCATTTAATTTGTCTGCACTCTTAACCTGAGTTTTCATTCAGTTTTAATTGCTTGACTGTAAAGATAAAATTACAACTTGAATTTGCCAATCTAATTCCTTAATTAAATATTATTACAATTTTCAATTCCTCAATCAATGTGAATTTTTTTACTCTAATTATATTGTTTATCATTAGAGAGAATAGAGAAGATCAATTGAAAGTAAACCTTGAGACTATATTGATTATTTGACTGATTAAAACTAATTGAAATCCAATCAATTTTATTTCCTCTTCAATTAAAAGATAATCAGCAAAAAAAATCAATCGCAATTTATTTAACATCTTATGATAAAAATAACAACAATCAAATCATATTGATCATCAATTTTTCCTAAATTAACTTTCTTTCTCAACCTATCATGTAACCGCCATCGCCAGTGAATTTGAGGCCAATTGGTCAGTCGATTTAATTACAATTAGAAAAAGAAAGTAAAATAACCCGAATTTATTTAGAATTTATATTTGGCGGCAAAATGTTTGTTGAGTTTATCTCGAATCCATCGCTTGGCAACTTCCCGGAAACGGATATTTATTTATCTCTGCGAGTGGGGAGATTGTTTAATTTTGCTTTTACTTTTACAATAATTAAAGGTTAATCTAATTCGTTTTTTTTTCAATTATTGTCTTCAAGTTTATTTCGATTTTAATTTTGTGTAAATCTATTACCGATGGGTACTCGAGTATACGTTGGTAGGTTACATTATGATGTACGGGAAAGGGATATAGAAAAATTTTTCAAAGGCTATGGCAGAATCAGAGAGATCTTGATGAAAGATGGCTTCGCCTTTGTGGTAAGTAATTTTTTATTTTTTACTTTTCCTCATTTTATTTAAATTAGCGTTTATTTTGTTAATTTTTTCAATGGTTAATATCTTGATTGTGATGACAATTTCATTTTAAACCATCTTTCGGGACTGAAGTTCCTCGGTGAAGATATTTTTTGATCTGAATTGAAGATAAAGCCAAATTCGATATTTTGTCCTATCTTTTTTCCAATCCAATATGGCGTTTCATTCTTAACATGATGATTAATCAATCTTTTTCAATCATGTCTCTCAGGAATTTGATGACCACAGAGATGCTGATGATGCTGTTTATGATCTTAATGGTAAAGAACTAATGGGTGAAAGGTAATTGTAACATTTATGTCTTTTTAAACTCTTTAATCACAATATACTTTTGAGTTTTATCTCTTTAATTATGATTGATTTTCCAAGAGAGTTCAAATTTGTTTAATTTTCTTTTACCAGGGTGCATGTTGAATTTGCTAGAGGACCATCACGTGGAAGAGCGCGGTTTCGGCCATATGGATCTTCAAGACCTTATTATTCTAGCAGTCGAGGAGGTGATAGACCTTCCGGTGGTGGAGGAGGTGGTCTAACTTATGCTGAGAAGTAAGAAACGTTCAGAAATATATTTTTTTAGTTCAATCGAAAGAGAGAAACTAAATGCGTTGTTGGTTAGCTCTATACGCTGTCATGATTCGTCCTGATTATCCTCTCTCTTATCACTGTTACCAAGGATATTTATTTCGATTGGTTGATTCGGCTTAGTATTTTCTCCATCGATATTTTCTTGTTTCCCCATTTCTCTCTTTCCTCCCTATTAACCCAATTCCTTTATCGATTTTGAACTTACAATTATTTTTATTTCTCAACCTCATCCCCTTTCAAACCACCCGGCAAATGATCTATCGTAATCTTTCTTTCTTCTTTTCTACCGTGGATCCAAAAATGTCTCTAACTCTAGGTATGGCCCCCCCAGGAACACCGAATATCGAGTGATCGTGGAAAATCTCAGTAGTCGAGTCAGCTGGCAGGTATGGTTGTTTTCTAATCTTTTATCCCATGTTTATGATGAGGGAGCGATCTACAAACTATCAACGTAAACGTTTGGCTCGGTCTCTCCTTTGGTACCTCTACTCTACCTTTTAGCAAGTTTGATGGTGTCTCTGCTTCATTGCACTGTCGTCATTAGACCAGTCGTTTAACGCTTTGAAGTTGGTTACCTTGTCTATGCTCATTATGAAATTGATATCAAGAAGGTAAAGAGAATCTCATTTACTCTTTCAACCTAAAATGTCAACAAGTCTAAGGTTTTTAATATCTCCGGAAGGGTCAACCAATTTCACACAATAACTTTTTTCTTCTACTTTTTTGCTCATATTTTTCTCTTAACAAGATTCAGTGGATGTTCTGTCTTCAGAAAGGTTCTTTTTTTTCTCTATAATTACAGTAATTTTAAGTCCATTAAGTGCTTTTAAATTGCATCTCAAAATGAGGCCTTTATAGTATCTTCAATCTTCATTAACCATTAATCTGCGTTCGTTTTATTGCAAGGATTACACAGTTAAGATTTTACCACTTTCACATCTAACTTTGTTTACTTTCTCTTTTTTAATCATCTCTAGGATTTGAAAGACTTTATGCGTCAAGCTGGCGAAGTCACTTATGCTGATGCGCATAAACGTGAAAGAAACATGGGGTAAGTGTGCGTTTCTCTCTTGAAGCTCAAATATATAACCTGTGTCTTTATCTAATTTTCTTTTCAGCATCGTCGATTTTGCCACTTATGCTGATATGAAACAAGCTCTCGAAAAACTTGACGGAGTAGATTTACATGGAAGGCGGATAAGACTTGTCGAAGATAAAAGTCGACGTCGAAAGTAAGTATTAAACACTTCATCGTTAGTTTTTAACCCTTCTAATTGTGCATTTGTATATTTTTTTAGGGGTAGCAGAAGCAGGTCCCGTTCCAGGTCTCGTAGTCGATCTAGGTCACGATCTCGTTCGCGATCACGATCAAGGTCCCGCTCTCGATCTCGTTCACGAAGAAGCTCCAAATCCAAGAGTCGTAGTCAGAGTCGCGAAAGAGCCGACCGAGAAAGTCGATCTAGGTCAAAATCGCCCAAGAGAAATAACAAATCTAAAAGCAAGTCCAAATCTAAGAGTCGAAGTCGTAGCGGGAGTCGCGGACGTGACAGGAGTCGAGAACGCAGTCGAGAGGTAACTCGTAGCCGCAGTCGAAGCCGAAGTCGCAGTAAATCAGCCAATGTTAAAGTGTCGCGTTCCCGCTCACGAAGCGCTGAAAGTCGAAACAGGTCAAAATCACGTTCTCGATCACGATCCAGGTCCCATTCCAAAACTAGAAAATCTCGCTCAAGGTCTCGTGAACAATCAAGATCTCGCTCCAGGTCCGCCTCACCGCCCAAAAACAACGCTAACGGCGGAGAAGGAGGTGACAGTATTGAGGATCAAGTCATGTCTGAGAAATGATCCAATTAATTTAGATTTCATTGTTCCTCTTTTCCAATTTTCTTTTTTCATGTGTAACCTTATCATTTCATAATTGATTAAATTCCGAGGAACTCTTACTTGTGTTTCTCTGATTTTCTATCAAAATTATACAATCTACCATGATTGACCTTTTTTGATCAACTAATACACGAGCTCCTTAATTAAATTCACTGATCTTCAAGAAAGACTTTTAGATTCAACATTGTAATTGATCAGATTTAATAATCTTCAGTATTGGAAATTAAATAAAATCTTGATTTATTGACAAAAGATGAATTTATTTCAATGGAACTCATCCTGATGGAGATGCGGCATCGAAATATTGGTTGACAATGTGAATGAATCAAAAGGAATTGAACAGAATGTAAAATAAAATAAATGAATTAAATAGAAACAATCAATTGAGAACAAGATGCAAATTCGATTAGTTGACTTTGGGTTTGGTGATTAAGATCTGTAATTAAAAGATGAGATAAAATGTTCACTTTCTGGATCTTAACCTTCGAGTTACGGGCTTGGTAACAGTCGGTTCTTCGGGAGTTTCTTCAACCGCAGCTTTCGCTTTCTTTCCTCGACGTGGCCTTTTTTCTTCTGTGACTATTTTCTCCTCCAGTTCTTTAACTGGTTCCACTTCTTCTTCGACGTTCGTTTTCTTTCGTCGAGCTCCCGTTGCCTTTTTCGTTATCTTTACTTTCTTCGGCTCTTCCGTTTGCTCTTCAGCGACAGATTCGGTAGGTTGACTTGAGGCATTCGGACGACGTCTACTAGATCTTCTTACAGCAGCATCGGTGTTGGCAGGTTGAGATTTCTTTGGGTCCTCTTTGGATGGCTTAAAGGTCACTTTGAGGTTATTTTTACCGCGATGTGCTGATGGCGAACAAGGCTCGTCATCCACCTTTTCTTCGTTGGCCGAAACAGAGATAGATCCATCTTCATCTTCGTCTTTTTCTTCCATTGCAGATGTGTGACCGCTGACATCTTCTTGGTCACTTTTTTCTTCGGAAGCTGAAGCGGCAGCGCTTATATCTTCATGTTCACTCTTTTCTTCTGAAATGGACAAAGGGTGATCAGATTGATTTTATTTCCTTTATCGTTGACTGGCTCGTCCTTTTCATTTTCCGGCTCACTTTCGGCTTCCTCTAGATTTTCTTCAGGAACTTCTACTGTTTTCTTTGCTTTCTGACGATTATTCTTAGTAACGGCCTTTCGCCCATTTCTTTTTCCGGTTTTAATTTCGTTCTTGATTTCAACCGGTTCAGGAAGTTCCTCTTTGTGTTTCATTTCTTCAGATTCTTCAACCTCTTCATCTTGAACTTCTTCTTGTTTCACTTGGGCTTTCTCTTTAATTTCTTCGCCAACATTCTCTTCCAGAGTTGTTTCACAGGCAACAGTATCTTCTTGAGCTGAATTGGTTTCAACTGCTCTAAATTTAAAAATATGTTGACCAATCTTAATTGACGCTCCATCGATCAACTGAGTAGAAGTTTCAACCATAACATCATTGACATAAGTTCTATTGAGGCCGGACTTGTTAAACAAAATAGGAACTTCATCATGATCACAGCTAATGACACAATGTACTCTTGAAGTGATTGCTGTCATTACTCTCAAATGAGATTGCTTTACCCGCCCGATTGTGAAATTTTTCCACTCCAATGGGAAAGTATGTTTTTCAACCGGACAATCATCTTCAAACACTAAATATCCATAAATCGGCACTTTTGTCTCGGAATCACTGTCGATTTCAGGTCTAAAAGAGAAATATTTACAAGTTGATTCTTCAACTGATGAAGTCATGATTGTGACTTTAAAATAACGATGTCCACACAAAAATTTAAATCAAAATGAAGCACAAAGACAGTTAACTGATTAGAAATTAAATCAAAAGCGAAACTTTTTTTCCCACTCACCAGATGGCAGAGCGAAAGAACAGCGACATCTGGTGAAAGTAAATTGTTCTTTTCAATTAAATTAATTATCCAAGATGATTTATCTTTGAGCTTCGACAATCAATATCTCTGATGAAATTAGTGAAATTTATTGCGTGAGATTTTTAATTGTCTATTTTCTAAGCAAAAATTGGACATTTAGTCTTTTAATCTCATGATGACTTTTCTCCAAACTGAACAAACTCCACACAGTAAAAAATTGATCAATTTTAAAGATTTAATTTAATATCATTCGGTTTAAGATAATATTGAGAAAGAAGAATAGATATTTAATAATTTTCATTTGATTTGCAATTAAATATTCAAATGATTCGATTTGCAACATTGTTGACATGGACTCGGGCATTGTCTTGATGATCTACAATTAGATCGACAAGGCATTGGTGAAGTTAAAGTTTTCAGATTCATTAAGATTGTAGGAAGATAAATCGTGTCCACCTAAAGTCATCAATAAATGTCGACCTGTTCTGATTATCTGTTGCTGTTGTTTAGATCCCGTCAGAGAATCTTCCAAAGATTCGGGCCTGTTGATTAGTAATAAAAGAGTAAAATCGATTAGTAATCAGCAAAAAGTAATCATTCTTCATGGACTCACCTGAAATTAGGCATCAAAATAAAAAGGAATGAAAGTAGAATAACAAAAAGCGATGTTTTGAACGAAGCTTGACCATGTCCAGTGTGATCTTTCAAGATTTTCTTCATCTTTGCCGTCAGAGATTGATTTTGTCGACGTAAATCATCAACTTCCTTTTTTAGGAGTTTGTTTTCACTGGTACAATCTTCGTACTTCTTTTCCAGTTCCTCGACATATTGTTTCTTTCGAAGTCGAGAAAATTGGGCTGATCTTTTATTCCTTATCTTTCGTCTTATTTTTCTTAATATTTTCTCTTCTTGATGTGTCAATTCTTTCGTTTCACTGGGAAAGTCGGTGTATCCTTCTTTGTTTAGTAATTTTCTTTCTTCTTCAGTTAACCGGAAATCGGTGACATTTCGTCTTTTTGAACCTTTACTGGTTTGTTTCACTTTTGGACTTGATTCGACTGATTTGTCTTCGTCATTATCTTCACTATTTTCATATTTTACACAACAGTAATTATGAATTTCAAATGTACGAGGTGCTGGTGACTGATTTACGATGTAACAATCCGTTTGGTCATCAAACATACCATTAGATTCAATACTATAATGACCGTTGGATAATAAAATTTCTTCATCAACATATTCTTCGATTACTTCTTCACTTATCCCATCTTCCTCTGGACTTGTAGACGAGCTGCCAGAAATACTAACTTTACTTGGACTTGGGGATGCCGACTCTTGAATATCTAAGTGAAAAGTAAACAGCGAGGTTAATAGCATATCATTTTACCAATAGACATGATTGAACATCAATGCAACTAAAATGTTTTAATATTTTGATAACGAAAATGATAAATACCAGTGAATGATAAATGATTGGGTTCTGATAAATTGCTATTCTCATTGGACCCACTGCTCTCTGGCCATTCATCATAGTCTCTTCCAATCAAGTCTGAATCACCACCACTTTCAGACCACAAGAGAGGGTCAAATTCTGGTAAATCATTGGTTTGACTCACTAGAATACAACAAAATAAAATGAAAAAATGAAAAACAATTGACAATTAATCCCTAAATTCCAATCTGTGACAAATCATATTGAAGGATAAACAAAACTGTAGGGCGAGCCCATTGAGAGTATTTCTACTTACCAATTGACTCAATATACTTGTCAATCATACAATCATCGGTGATGTAGGGTTCCAATGGACAATCAAGACAACTCATTGCAATTAAATATTCAATATTGTGATTAAAATAATTAAAACAAATAGAGAGCAATCAACATTTAACATGTACACGTTAAGAAATAATCTTCAACATTGTCAACAAACAAATTATGACATGAGTCAGTTTCCTATTGGCTGATTAGTAACTCGTTTTGTCTTCAATTGAGTCTTTGCTTCTTAATCGTTTTCGACTCGACGATTGATAACCAAATTATTAAACCTTTACTTTAGTAAATTGTTAACTGTTGGACCACAATTTTATTCTCTAATTAAGTATTTTGTTAACTGAATCAATTTAATTGATTCCAATTCAATTTCTGTCAATTTCCGAATGTGTGGCGACATCTCTTTTCTTTCATTCCAACCAATGGATTCGCTCTTCTTTAAAAGCATTTGAAACTTTCAAATTGAAAGTTTTGTGTTTATTGGGTAAGGCTCGAGATACAATTAATGTTTCGTTAAAATTTTTGATATAAATATAAGTTTTAATTATTGAGGAAAAAAGACTATTTAATTTAATTACAAAGCTATTTGTCGCCTTTTTTACTCGCCAATTTGCTTAATAAACTGTGACCGGATAGAAAAGTGATGAGCCCGAGACCCAAAAGGTATTTAATTGTGGTGAACATGTTCAATTGGAGCCATAGGCATGTGAACAAGGCGAAGATTGAACCTAACCCGAGATGGAAAAGTAACCCACTCAAAGAGAATGAGAAACCAGAAAGATTCGCACCGAGTTTAGCCCATAATCCAAACAGAATCAAAACTGGTACTAATGTTAATAATGCGAAAGTATCAGATACAAAGGTCGGCGGTCGCTTGTCTTGTTCACGGAAAATGTGATTAATCACTGGTTTTGGACTGTAAGTCGACTTCATCCATGAAGCTTTATCTTGAAGGGCTTGTGCTTGACCAGAAGTAAATGTCACTCGAGCTGAGGCTAATTTCCAAACGAATGGATTGCTGATGACCGAATCACCTACGATCAAAGAGATATGATAAAGACCAGAATTGAAGCCCAGGTCTTTTCCTCGTTGGGCTAAATTGAGATCAAATTTATAAGTGTCGGTGCTACTTTCCATTTCCACTACATAAACGTGTTCTTTTTTACTTTCATCATTCAAAACCTGGACGAAGACTTGGTGGGCAGTTAAAGGATCATTTGAATTTGCATCTTTCAGAGAAAATTTGAAGACCACTTTCTGTTGTTGATCGACCTCCAAGATATTGCTACTATACTGAGGAAATTGAAGAGCAGTCATTTTCATTGGACCAGATTGATCTTTGTCGGCAATTCCAATCTCTGCCTTTTCCACCTTAATACTAGTGGAAATTGTAATCTTGACTACAGCTCCCGTGTTACCGATGAGCTTTTGCTCTGTCTTTGAAGAAACGGAAATGGTGACATCATGGGAACCACGTTTTGGTTTAGTTTCAATAACATCTAATGCAAACATGGTTGAATCTCCTTGGACAGAGTTGAATGTCTTTTTGCCAGTCCATGCTGTCGACTCTGCGGTAACAACTAAATCAGATCCAACACTTTGACCAAGAACATTGGTAACATAAATGCTTAATAATGGATTCGCAGACTCAATGCTGGACTGTCATACAAACTGACACAAACCGGGAGATTAAATTTATTGGTAGATAGAGTTTTCAAAACCTCTAACAAATCAGAAGCTCCTTTAACAGTCTGGACGGTCTTACGATTCAAAAAGTAATTGGTGAACTTAATTACTTGATCCTAGAGGGGAAACAATTAATGATTAGACAGGATTCGGATAGAAGCATATTATCCAACTTACATTTGTTAATCCAGTTGGTTTTCCAGCAGTATTAGCCAACGAGTAAATACCAAGAATTATGTTCGCAGTGATACCAAGTCCACCTTCAAACTGAAACAGAAAATAAAAGCTGTAGAATGATTTTTCCGACTATGAAGAGACAAAGTTCCCTGAAAGTTGGATTAAATCACACCATTACTCTTCGATACGTTTGACAGAGTGCCCTTCAGTTCACACTCGAAAGGTCTCCAACATCATATCGATATAAAAATGTAATCCAATTCGAGAGCGTGTTAACTTACCTGAAGATATCGACCATCTACTTCATCGGCTTGCATGACAATTTCAGGAACTTTATTAATAAAGGGGGTAACATTTTCCACACCTTGAAGATGAGCAGAGAGACGGAAAGCATGACCAGCACTCAAAAGTGTTTCATCTTTTTTCAAAGCTGCTTGAAGCAACTTGCTGATCTTAGCAGAGTCAATCGGTTTACCAAGATTTATAAGTGAAAGAGTAGATTTGTAAAGATCAGCAACAGTAACATCGGTCTTGATATAGCCTTCCAGAGAGCTCACTATCTTTGCACTAGGTTGTACCTAAAGTAAAAGTAAAAAAATGTCATGAGTATTTCCAGTCACTAAATAGACAAATAAAACCATGTAGGAAGGATTGACTGATTGTTAATCTCCGATGATCCCCTGATGATTCAAATTACTGGAAAGCACTTGCCATCGAGAGGATAGAATCGGAACGAGAGCTGAATAAAGCAAGAGATTAGGATTTCATACCTGACAATTCAACAATTTAGCAGCAGATGAAGCAAAATAAAGGGTATCTAATTTAGCAGCAAACGAATCGGCCAGATTGGATACCAGATAATCACAGACTTTCTTCGTTTGTTGGGTATTCAAAACGGTGAAAAGTCTATCATTGGTTAGCACATTGGACCCTAAAAGAGAATAATATAAATTGTTAACAGGTAAATCACTATAAGGCTCAGTCAATTTAAACAAATCACTAAAACGTGTTTTGTCTTGACTGGTCAGAAAAGTGTTGGGTGTTAGTGATGAATGGACACTTGTAACAATTAAACTCAAGACTAACAACACTTTGTACATGATTCGAGGGTTTAAATAGTAAATAAGGAATGTAAAAAAGGTGAGGGAGATTAAATTAAATTCGATTAAATTTAACTAAACCAAATTAACCTGATGTGTAACAAGAGAAACCCAACAATCCCTAAGAGACACGAATCAAGTCAATTCCCCGGAAATGAGAAAGTCAACTGATGAATTGATAATCGAAATCGATAATCACGAATCCGAAAATCGATTTTCCATTTTCTTTCTTTTTCTCTTTCCGGATTGACTTGTAAAATCGAAACATCAGTCCTGCTCGATATCGATATTGGTATCGAATATCTTTCACTCGGTATTTACAATTCGTTCGTCAGCTCAACTTTTTCACTTTGAGCTGATTTTGTTCGGCTCAACCTCTTTGTTTTCCATTGAATGGAGAGAATTTGTTGAAACAAAATCGATGTTTATGTGAATTTATTTTCTATTTTCAGTGATTATTTATTTCGTTTAATTTATTGTGATAAACATTTTGATTCCTTTTTAATTTTTTGTTGGTTCATATTTCAATTCATCATCCTGACTTCTCCAAATTCCCATGGAATTGTTTTTTTATACGGTGTGCGAATGGGCCATGTTATCACTGGAGAAATGAATCAAGCTCCTGGACCACCGACAGCCAGACTCTATATAAATAATAACCTACCTGGAGTTATTCCGTCTGGAAGTGCTAATGGCCAACAAAATCAACTGTTAACTGTCCGTGAGAGGCTCTTTAGGGTTTTATTTATGAAAGTAGCTGTTTGGTATGCATCAAAAACACCTAATCGTTTAAGAAAAATTATTGAATATGGTGTTTTGATTTCAGCTATATTTTCACTATTAATATTATCGTATCTTCATGTGACATTCATTCAGAGGCCTATTAATTGCCTTGAAGATCTACAAGATTCTTGGCCGAGAGATGGTATCTTGCGAGTTGAAATATCTAAACTGGAAGATTTGAATAGTTCAAAATTGTGCTCTTCATCTGAACCAACTTACTTTAATTCCACAGAAGAAGAGCAGAAACAAAACGATAAAGATGGTAAATATAATCAATCCTAATAATTGTCTGTTCATTTTTTCCAAATGATTAATATTTCTCATATTTTTCTCTTCTAGATAATCACGTTGTTGAATATTCTCTCGAATATGGGTTCCTGCGATTATCTACTACAACTAGAAAAAAGTTAAATATTCCAGTCAAAGTTGTAACTCTTGACCCAAGTCGTGATAAATGCTTCGGTGGCCTGTTCATTCAGTTTATACTGAAAAACTTTCTAGGCTATGACGATGTGTTAATGGGAAGCTTAAAAGCCATAGCTGAAAAACTGGACAACAAAGGTAAATGTTTATGAAAAAAAATCTCTTAAAACTGTGCAAACAAACATTGAACGTTTTATCGATTAACATAAATTTCCCGTACTGACTATCTTGTTCTCCTTGACGTTCTTGATTACATTCAGTATAAACTTTGATTAAAAGCACTTTTTCGATATTAATAAGTAGTTCATCTCTTTGAGCAATCGATTCAAAGTACTTGATGCTAAAATGCATTTCAATCTTGCTGACCTTCGTCTTTAAGTCATGGTCATCTCGCTAATCTGCATTGTCAAACTTTTTAACCTGTTATAAGAATCTTAATTGAAATAATTTCATTGTATCATTTGGACTTCTAAAAATCGATCTTTCTGAGGGCCATCGAACATTTTTGCTTTCGAATACGTCAATACATTTAATTCAATTAATCTGTCTTTCATTGGCGTTTGGGAATCGCTTCAAGCAAAATTTATTTATTAATATTCTTTTTTTTCTCGACCATTTTATCTTACAGGTTTTGTTCGGAATGTAGTTACCGGAGAGCATTATCGATTTGTAAATATTTGGATGACCAGAACATCTTATATTCCGGCTTTTTTCATAATGCTGATTTTCACTTTGTCGATATCAATGTTACTTCGTTATTCACATCATCAAGTTTTCGTTTTCGTCGGTATGTTCATAAAACATACAATTTACAGTCAAATCATAAACTCATTTAGCGAGAATGAGATCTCATTTCGAGTGAACGTAAACCCTTTAAGTTAAATTCGGATAATCCCTGAGCTCAAATCGAATAAACTAAATCTCACTTGCTCAAAATGAAATCGCATTTCGAGTGAATACCTAAAGGTAAATTGTATTCACTAGGACTGGTTTTGAGAATTTTAGCCATAGGATATTCTATTAATACATACTAATGTCTATTGAACGTTCACTCGAAATGTGATCTGTATTTCTTGAAATTAATTCTAATTCTATTATTTTTATCTTTCTTATGTTACAGCGGAGCTCATGCACATGTTGGAATTCAATATGAATATTTCATTTCCTTTCGCTCCTTTACTAACAGTTATATTAGCCCTCGTTGGAATGGAAGCTATTATGTCAGAATTTTTTAACGACACGACAACAGCTTTTTATGTCATCCTAATCGTCTGGGCTGCTGACCAATATGATGCTATGTGTTGCCATACATTACTAACACGTCGACATTGGCTCAAATTCTTCTATCTTTATCACTTTTGTTTCTATGCTTATGACTATCGTTTCAATGGACAATACTCAACACTGCTCTTCTGACTTCATGGCTTTTCATCCAACATTCGATGATCGCCTTTTTCCATCGCTACGAATTACCATCAATTTTAATTCATTCGAACCACAACCGTAATATTGTTACCGTTAGTCATGTTGGAATTGCTAATGAGAATCGTGGAGAAAATGTTGTCAGTAGCTCTTCAGATTCTAATGAACTTTCTGATCAGCCTAATCAAATACCAACAAATTAAATGTCTCTTTGTTGTTTATCTTGATCTTCCCTGTTGTTCATCGGCATCATCACTTTCAACAAACGAAAATACGATAAATACCTTGTTAAAGATCGGTACCAATTCATCACTACTCTTCATTCTATCCGCTTCAACCACAAACTTCAATTAATTGATTGTGCTGATTGCAAGAGAATCGCAATGAATTAGTATCTAATTAATATAACTTGAATGACATTTACTACAGTGACTGTAGTACAGTCTGTTGATTTAAATCATTAATTGATAATAAAATCAACAATTTAAAGAAAAATTTGATTAGTAATTAGAGTTTTTCAATATCCATTTTTGGTATCAATAGAAAAAAATTCTAAAAAGTTTTTTCAATCTTAACTTTTGAAAAATCTCATTATTTTTCGATATTTTCTCGACTTTTACTATTAATCGTTGAAATATACAAAAATCTATGGAAAGAAGCAATAATATCGACAGATCTTCGATAAATATCGTTAGAATTTGGGCTTAGTTGGCCGAAGGGCACTCAAAGCAAAAGAGTCTGAGTGAAAATACCAAAAGATTTTCATTTGAAGATGAGCCTTTTCATGCACAATCAATTCAGAATTTTTCTTAACTACCGAAAATAACAATTAATGATAAATTGAGATTAACCAGAAATTAAAAACCCCTTCCAATCAACTTAATCTATTAATAATAATAAAAAAACATTCAAATTTAATTGTTGGAACATCAAAAAGATGAGCAAGTTTGACTTGACCGATTCGAAAATTAGAAAAATTCAGTTTTGGTGAAGACCAACTAATGGAATATAATTCACTTTCAGTCGATTATCACATTAAATTATTAATAACTTGTATTATATATGAATTATTATTATTTTAACGCCAATTTTATTTAAGCTTTAACAGCGACCACGGGGAAGCTTCGATGGATAAAATAATACAAATACGGCGAATACGGGCCGTAGGAAGGGAAGGAAAAAGGGCGAAAGGAAGGGCGAAGAAAAGAAAAGGAAATAATAAAAAAATCGACAAAACATTTTCTTCGCTGAGGTCAAATATCATGTACAATAAAATTACAGAGAAATGAAGTACAAAAAGTTACAAAATGGCTGATGGTTCGTACTTTAACTCGAGGCCCGTGAAGGGGTCGAACTAATCGCTCAATCGAATCTTATTCATGGCGATTTACTGATGAAAATTTGTCTCTTTGCGAATTTCATTGAATCTTCGATTAACTTGGTGAACAGTTCTTTCCATTACCATTTATACATTCGAATTGGTCCATTTGATTGTGATTGACGTGACAAGGAAATTGAATTCAATCAAATGGTTTCATCTTTTGAGTTGTGAGGATTTGGATCAGTGAAAGGTAAACAATTGTAGAAACGATAATGATGATGAATATTGAGATGTGATAATTGTGATGATTTGGATTATGAATCGTTTAATTGTTAATTAAACCTTTGGCAAAGCCATAACTTCAACGGTAACAATATCTGTGAATGAAACAACAGAACATGATTAGTCATTAATTAACTCTAATTGTGATTTACATTTTCACAAGCTTCAGCCTTATTATTATTGCGGCGGAAAAGCTTTACAATTATTAATTAATTAATAGAACTCAAATCAAAAGCATCAAAAGTTAATAATCGTTAATAAAAAAAAAGGTAAAAGCGATGATTGAATGAGAATCAAGCGAATGAATAATCAAATTAGATAATTAGAATGAAGCATAATTGTTTCGAGCCCAAGTGAAGACAATTGCGATGGAAGGGTGATGACAATTAATTAATCACAACTTTAACATTAATTATAAGCACACAATTAGCAAAGAAATGCGGTAAATTATAAATCGATTTTAATTCTTTACCAATAACCAGATTCACAATCACTATTAATCATTGGATCTCCATCTTCAGGTTCTGTCATTGGTAAACCAACAAATTCAGTTTTGACTTTTGGAATAGTTAATTAATCACGATCAATGATTTTATCGAATTAATCAAAGAAATGGATAAAAAAATTAAGTTAAATCTTTAAGAAGACAAAATAATCAGCAAATCGTAAATCTGTGATTTTAACCTGATGAACCTTTTACTCTGAATTGTTACTGATTGAATTTCGATAAATTCTAATTGTGACTTACTTTTATCACGACCTGAAGGGATGTCGTCGTTGATGTAAACCTTTTTACCAGAAATTCGTTTGTATGTTTGGAAAATAACGGCCATCACAATACAAACACCAAGCATCGAGAAAGCGTAAAGAAATGGGAAGATCCAAACTTTTTTCAATTGCTATCGAAGAGATCGGTTCGAATTGATTAGTTGATTGATAGATTAAAGTTTCGTCGAATGAATAATTACCTCGAATGGATATGAGAGAGAGACAATGGCAAGAGCAGTACCGACATTCTGAACTCCTGCTTCAATACCGACAGTTCGTCTTGATGCGTATGGAAGTCCAAAGATCGAAGCGCAACCAAAACCAAGACCTATACCAAGAATTGGTAAAGCAAATTCGGCGACATATAATTTGGCTGGAATATCGTCAAAGATATCAGGGAAAATCATGACTTCCAAAGCTTCGCAAACGATAATGATCAAGAAACCAGCAACACTGCCCATCTTTTAGTACCAATGATTAAAAATGCAATGATATGTTAATGAAAATTAAATTGGTCGCTCTAATTGTTCACTTACTTTGGTAAGGAATGGAGCAACTTTGGGCCATTTCCAGAATACAATCATACCTCCAGCAACCGGGCATGTGAGGAAAAATAATGAATAGGTCATATTTGAATATGGAATGACAATAGTGTCACTTTCGAGAGATCGACCATAAAGCCAAACGTTAAAAGGCATCATGACCAATGCGACGATAGTTGATAGAGAAGTCATAGTGACACTAGAATAAATCGAATGCATAAACTTAATGTTCTGATTCACTAATTGAGTTTAAATTTTAATCACCTGAGGGAAACATCGCCATCACAAAAGTATGTGAATAGATTTGAAGTGACCCCTCCTGGACTTGAGGCCAAGATAAGAAGACCAGCGGCATGTAAAGGTTCAATTGCGAGGATGTGGACCAAACAATAGGCCGAAAACGGCAATAGTAAGAACTGAGAGACCATTCCAGTGAGGACACCGACCGGCTTACGAACATGACTCCAAACCTTTCGATCAATTAAAGATGAAATCGATCAATTGTTACTCCAATTAAGTAGGTAAATATTAATGTAATTTAGAATCGCAACTGAGTTAATTGTTTCCAAATTGTTTCATGTTGAAATCGATCATGATTTGTTGGGAATTAATTTTCATCAATGATTTTTAGCTAACAATTGTTTTCATTTTGTTCTCATTGTAATCCAACAATTAGAATTCATTCAAGATTAAAATTTAAAATTCTAATCATGAACAGGTTTTCTGATTGTTCTTGCTAATAATCTATTAAATTACAAATTTGATTCTTAATTTAATTCCTGATCAACTGACCTCTTGCTCTCTAATTGTTTCAATCAAAAAGCTGTTACATGTTTACTCGAGTAGTTGATCAAATATCAATGGTTATCAATCATGGTTAAGTTAATCAACTTAACTCTGAACATTAACAAAATCACGAAATAAGTGATTAACTAAATTGTAATAATTTCGATTTTTTGACCTTGTCGTTGATTGAAGAATCAAAAAGAAACGAAGGAGAAGACAAAGTTAATTTACTTTCGATTGTATCGAGTTGATTAACTTTCTGTTACTCACGATGATTATGATGATCACCGTGATTCCGATTACCAGGACAAGGTCGATGGTATTACAATCTGATTAACAATCAACTTAAGCACCCAAACGGAAAACTGAGTTATAATTAAGATGATCTATCAATGACCTTATCTTTAGCTTCCTGATGACCAAAGAGCAAATTAACAGCAAATAATTTAAATCATTTGAATATTCAATCAATGATATCATTTAATTGAATAATAACCAGAGTCAACTGTCGTTAGATTATCAAATTAATTCAATTTCAATCATCTTGTTATCAATTGTCCAGTTAACTTTATTTTCCTTAACACTCTTGACTGTTTGTAATTAATCCTGGTTACAATCAATCAACTGATTAAACAATTGATAAAGTTAAACTTTAACCTTTTAATTGTTGGTCAATCGTATTAATAATCAGGATTAAAAACAGGTTGTTAATTAATCTTTAATTGAAACCAAAAAAAGGTAAATAATCATAAAGTCATTAATCATGCTGATTATGTTTCAACAATTGACTTAATTGTATCCACACAGACACAATAATTAAAGTTACAATCGAGACAATTGATTGTTTAAGGTTAACCTAGAAAAGTAATTGAAATTGTTTAATCAGATCAAAAGATGACAATGTTTAGTTAGCTGGATATGAAAAAACAACGCCAACAATTAACTAATTGTAACTATTGTTACTAAACAGCCAAGGATCGTTTGACCATCAAGGTGATCATCATGATAATCAACGTAAGTGTTAACTATTAAAATAAATTAGAAATGATAGTTTGTATATTTAAGGCCAAATGCTGATGATGAAAAAATGTCGATCCCTGAAGGAGGCCAAGATCAGCAAGGAAAAGGTTTTGTTTGTGTTAAAGTTAATTGTAAATTGTTATTCTGTCTGATTGTTGCTTTACAATTAACTTTTTTCTTACTTCCTAATGTATTCCTTTTATTGGTGAGGGTCAGTGTTGATCAACGTTCACACAGGTAATTTGATTAACTAATGATGAAGATAAATGTCCAATGTCACCTTAACTGGTCAATGTCGATGCAATTAGTTAACTGTCAACAATTTAGTTTCAACTCAACTCGCAATTTGCTGATTTTCTGATAAATATCAACTACTACACTTTAATAATTAAATTAATTACTATTAGGATTAATTTTTTTACACTCAGTCTACTTTATCAATAATTTACATCTTATTGTTTTCAATTTGCGTTAATTGTTTACAACGATTAATTTATTAAAGATTAGATTAAAATTTAGATTTTATTGTTTTACTGGACTAATTGAATTGCTATGTTAATCTCACTCTAATCTCAATTAGCTAAAGTGTTTACAATCACTGGCGATTTACTAACTGCCTAATACTAACAATTAACGTTTTCTCTAACCTTGAATTAGCGCTTTCAAATTAATACAATTAGAAATTGACAAAATTAACTAAATAGATTGATTAATTATTACAAGTAAATAAAACTCACTGTTGTTAAAATTTAAACTAAATAAATATTAACAGAATCAAACTAAATTAAATAAAATGTTATTAATGTATTTTCTGGTTACAATTATATTAAGTTATTGGTGAAATTTTTGATATGTTGAAGTTACAATCAATTACAATTAGTTAATCAAATCGTGAAAGTATTGAGAAAATCAGGAAAATCTCAAGTTAATTAACAAACCTTGGCATAAATTGTTAACTAATGACGGACGTTTATTAATAATAAGAATTAAAATAATAAAATTAGTCTTGTAAATCATTTTGATGAGCATATTAACCTCATTTAAAATACGGAATTGAATTGTTGAATTAGTTAACCATCAATGGAGATAGGAAATAGCAATTAACAATCAGATATGACCATCGAAACAATAAATTTAATTACAAGTTGAAACTAGTAAACGATTAACATTGAAACAAATTATTTAACTAAATTTAATTTAATTATAAAAACGATTGAGAAATTTTCAGAGGAAAAAGTTGATTCAACCCTAAATTAGAAACAATTATTTGATTGTAATTTAATTCTAAAATTAACAATCTATTTTTATCACCGGCTAACCTTCAATGGATTAATTTAGATTTAAATTGATATCGTTTAATTATCTATGGCTATGATTAAATTGCTCAACAATAGTTTGAATAATCGTGAAACCGTTAAGGTCATTTAAATTGTTACTAAATTTAGTCAATCATATTAACGATAAATGATTATTTTGCCGATGGGGTTTTTTTGACTAATCAATAATAGTATATTGAAGTAGCTATTGACCATGAATAGATGATCATAGAGCTCATTTAGCTCGAGAACTAATTGAATGGATCAACAATTAACTTGTTAATTAACTTACCTCTTCCAAAGTAATTGAACAACCCATTGCAAACATAACAGAGACAAGAAGTGAAGTAATTAGTAAATCGTGAATCTTTTTCAAGATTGGAGGTCCATCCATGGCAATGGCCATTGTCTTGACACCTTCCGAGCCATTGATTAAACTAATTAGAGTTGATGATGCATTGAAAAAAGGTGATTCGGTGATCGCGATTGGTTTTGCCATGATAACGATTGATTAGCCAACAATTAGACACAAATACAAAGACAATTATCAATAAAATTGACAGAGAAAATTAATTATTAAACAGAGACACAAAAGGAACTGTTGTATTAAAAGTAAATGGGCACAATTAACTTGGACTTATAGCCTGTGTTAATTACTGTTAACAACTTTAACCAAGTTGATTGTTGTTGTGTCTTGATTGTACGAAGTTTATAAAATGATTTAGAAATCAAAGTAACACCAGTCTTTAAATGGAGTCTAAATTTTCAATCATTCTCATCATTACTTCAATTAACATCCTAATACTCATAACTTTTTTTTCTTCATTATTAATATTAATCAACAACAATTTAACTCTCACTTTTACTCACTCATTCACAACAACTTTTTTATTACTACTTATGCTCAACCCACCTAGTTAATACGTAGCAATCAGAGCTGAGTGAGAAAGTAACAGTCAGAAATAATAATAATGTTAAATAAAAAACTAAATTAACTACAATTAACCTTTAACTGTGATATAACCATTGAAGTAACTTGTTAAGGTCAACATGTAACTGGACACAAACTTGATACATGTTGATTCAGTTCCTTTCATCATCTTCCTCCTTCATCATCTGAGATTCAAGTTGGTGAAGATGGAAGATAATCTTTAATTTACTCATCGATCCTTGACCTAATATCGTTCATCGAAATAAATTTAACTCGAAACTTTTTATTTGTTTTCATAAACTTTTTTTCTCTTCCTACTGCGAGTCAATTAAATTGTTGGGAATTTAATCATCGTTGTGAAAGAGAGAGTTTAATTATAACAATCGAAATTGTCCAGTTGATTGTCGACAACAATTAAATTTGGTGACAAAAACGATTGAAATTCATTTCGAAACTCTAATTGTAGATAAATTTTTTTCTCATCTCTTCAAATTGCTAATTTGCTATTATGTTTTTCGACAATTAAATTACATATTATTTTAATTGATTGTTTGAATTTCCGGTCAATGGTTGTTCTCAATCCTTGATACCTTAATCAACTTGATACGTTCATTTGATTAGTGGTTAGTATTTACCTTCAATAGTTTATTGAATTAAGTTGTAATTTCAATTTCCGATTTTTCATCAACTAATCATAATCATCATGCTAATCACGATAATAATAGTTTTTTTTATTTTCGGAAGCATCGATATCAAATTAAATTTAAACTAACCGATGGTTCCTGATTAAGACCTTGCAATTAACAAAGGAATCGACAATTAGTAAAAGTTAACATAAAAGTTTAGGTCAAGGTTTTAATTGTTACAAATTGTTATCATTTTTCATTCATTTTTATCAAGATTATTAGTTGAATATAAACAATTAATTAAATGCACAATGTCACAAATTAATCTAAACTATTTCGAAATCAACAATTAACAAATGGAAAAGTTGATTAAAACTCAAGTTATTATAATTAATCATGGTAATGTAGAATCTTTAGTTAATTGTTGATAATTCACAATTAAATTAAAACAAAGAAAAACAATTGATTGTAATCATTAAAATATTTATTTGTACGGACAATATTTTTTCAACTCATTACTCAAGTGTAAAGTTAATTGTCATCACACTTTGAGTGATAATTAATTAATCAATTAACCAAACAATCAGTTAAGTCATTTGATTCATAAATGATAGTAAAGTTGTAAACAAAAAAGTAGCAAAGTCATAATAGTAAAGTGAATGAATTAATAAACTAATTTAAATTAAATAGTAATTCAGTCAAATTGGTCGATGTTTATGCTAATCAGACGAATAATTAATTAGAATAAAAAGAAAAATGATTCAAAAGTTTTTCCGTCGAGCCGGATTCGAACCAGCGACCTAAGGATCACTATTGAGAATCAACTACAGTCCTCCGCTCTACCAACTGAGCTATCGACGGTTCATGAGTTGAAAGGTCAAAAATGCTTATTTCAACCAAGTCGTTTGCAGATTGTTTTGATCATCGAATACAAATTGATTGTTTATTTTGTTTTCGCTAATATTTTACTTGTTTTAAGTCTTGTTGATTGGTTTGTAATTTTTCAAAACACTGGTGGTAATTAAATAGGCAATGAGAAAATATTTTGTTTCCGGTAATTGTTTTAAAGTATTCCATTTACTCTTCGATTGTTATAACCATATGATTTATACATTGAAGAAAAATGACAATTATGGGTTATCAAAATGTTTATATTTCCACCTTAAAAAAGTTAAATACTAGCCAAATAATCACGAACTTCTGAGGGTGTTAAACGTCGGAAGCCTTTTCTATCGCAAACGCCTACTTCGATATTATCGGCAGTCATTTGGCCTTCAAATCCTTCTTTAAGAGTGAGAATCGCTGTGTGGATGGCATCTTCTAACTCTAGATCTTCACTGTATCTGTTGGATTAAATAAAAGAAAGATTAGTTGGAAAAAGATTTTTAAAGATCGATTTTCAATTTCAAACATTTACCTTTTCTCCAAGAAAGATTTTCCGTTTACATGATTTTTACCCAAAGCAGTGGCTTTCCAAGCAAAATATGCACCCTAAAGATGGATAATTATTGTGTTAGTGATTTTTATCAATTTAGAATGATGAATATTAAAGAAATGAAGCTTTACCGATGGATCACATTGGAACAATGAAGGTTTATCTTTGTCCCAACCAGCAATCAGAAGAGAAACACCGAAAGGTCTGACACCACCGGATTGTGTATATTCTTGCATAATGTAAGCAACTCTTTGAACCAATTGAGAGGTAGGAATTGGCTCCGAATACATTAGCGCATATTTCTGAGCAATTTTTCTCGCTTTACGGACTAATAAACGATAATCAGGACCCATTCCACTGTAAACCATACCAATATGATCGGTAATGGCTTCTACTTTGTATATACTGTGTTCTTCATAAAGAATCGACTTTTGTTTTTTCTCTGTTGCCAATACAACTCCATTTGAAGCTGAATTAGAGACAAATAAAAGAAATTTAATAATTCAATCCAATGATTAAACCAAATTTAAAAAAGAAAACAAATGAGAATCAAACCTTTAATAGCCGTGGAATTTGCTCCTGAAGCAACAGCAGCCAAAGCATATTCGATCTGAACCAATTTACCAGAAGGACTGAAGGTGGTCAAAGAGAAACTGTATCTTTCTGAAGCCATAATGCACGTTTTAATTAATTGACAACAAAAATAATCAAGACAATTAGCAGGTTAAATGAGAGGATAAGTTGATTAGTTCAAGAATCAAAAATGCAACTCATCAGATGAAAGACTAAATATCGATAGTGACTATCGATGTATCGATACACAAAATCTCAGATTTTAATTCTCAATTTAATTGTAATTCTTCCAGACTTTTTCTCTTATACTTAATCGACTAGAGAATAACAATTAATTGTTCAATTCATTAGTTCGAATTGTTGTGATTAATATACCCTGAGAGTCAATCGTTTATATTTGAAAGTGAAAAGAAAAACAAACCGAAAACTGACTCACAATTAACTAGAGAGTTTTCTTACTAATTGTTATCAATATCCTGGTTCTTTTTCATTGATATTTTCAGCTGACATTTATTTCAATAATTAGAATATGTTTAAATTGATTCCGTGGATTCGAAAGTGTTTATTTCGATAAAACAATTAAAGGAATTCGATCAAGATTCGGGATTAGCGCCATCTCTGCGGTAAGAAATTTGAGCTGTAAAAGCTAATACATTGTCTGAGAGCTTGAGTCTTGGAGACAAGTCGGTTCTTTGTTATTGTTTCTAATTTTTTTCTTTAACCTTTTTTGCAGAGATTCTATCAAGGATTTGAGTTTATTTATTTTCAATTTTGTTACTAATTCAACAATTCAATGGATTCGCAAACTGACAGTGTTAATCAAAGTGAAACAGACCAATCTTTACGTACTGATTGTGCCACTTTAGGAAAAGACTCAACCGATGATGATGTTATTATTGAAAACCAACCTGACGACGCGATGAGTGATGAAAGTGATAAGAGTGAAGAGAGTGAAGAGAGTGATGATAGTCACATTTCCTATGATTCTGATGGATGGAACAAACTCAGGAAAAGAAAACATATCGAAACCACGCAATTTTTCAAAGATTTTTTGTCAAACATGAAGAAAAAGGTTAAAAAAAAAGAAGCTGAACTCAAAGCTTCAGGTCATAAGATTAGATACCAAAAAGCAAGAAAGTCTACAAGAGTTTACCCTTTTCTTTTGTGTTTTGCCTCAAAAAACCAATCTAATAAACACAAATCAAATGGTGATGTCAATTCAGATGATGGTCAAACGTCCAAGCTGAGTGAAGATCTAACGACAAGGAGTAAAGAAGTTAGAAGTGACGAGATGTTGGAAAATAATTCTATTAAAATCATTTCAGATAATGAGATTGAAGGATCTTCGGACGCTATTCTCGAGTTGACATTCGACGAGCCGAAAAAAAGTTCAGAAGATGAAAGAACCAAATCAGAAGCCATTAGAATAAAGATGGAAACAATAAATAACGAGATGTTGGAGAATAATTCTATAAAAATCGTGACAGAAAACGAGACCCAAGGATCATCGGATGCTATTCTAGAGCTTACATTTGACGAACCCAAGAAAACTTGCGAAGAAAAAACTGAATCAGATTTGCTCAGAATTAAAAAAGAATTAATCAACGACGAAATGTTGGAAAATAATTCCATAAAAATTGTGTCTGAACATGATGTTCGAGGATCATCAGATGCCATTCTCGAGCTAACATTCGATGAGCCGAAAAAAAGTTCAGAAGACGAAAGAACCAAGTCAGAAGCCGTTAGAGTTAAAAAAGAGACAATAAATGACGAGATGTTGGAACATAATTCCATAAAAATTTTAACAGAAAATGATACTCAAGGATCTTCAGATGCTATTCTAGAGCTTACATTTGATGAACCTAAAAAAACTTCGGATGACTGACGAATTAATTTATTTTTCTCAAGCTCGCAACAATCTGGCTTGTCGTTCTTCTTCCAGTTTCTTGAGTTCTTCTTCTACTTCAAGACGTCGTTTCTCCAAAAATTCTGCGTATTCTTTTCCATCCAATTTGTGTACAATTTTGACTCCCATCTGGAGAGCTCTTACAACTACTTCCTGGAAAATCTTCTCCATTGGTACATTTTCATAATAAGCATCTTGACTTTTTATTTTAGCAATTTCGTAAACGTGTTTCACCGTAACCATACCAGCGACCTCTTTATCAGGATTAGCTGATCCTCTCTCGGCTCCTGCAGCTTGTCTCAGGAAATAAGTTATGGGTGGATTGCTCATCTCTAATTTATAGCTTCTATCAGGCTAAAAGAAAAGAAAAATATTGGAAACAATTAGAATTAACATGGAAAAAGAGTTAAAATTACACAATACAGATAAGAACAGAATAAAAGACCAATCTGGTTTCCAAGCGCTCTCTTTCTTGGAAACACATAAAAGATAAATTACTTTTTTCTATCGTACGTCCTCTGTTTCTCATTGATCATTTGTATACAAATCAATGAAATAATTAAAGAATCAATTTTACAATAAATTAACTTCAAAGCTAAACAACAATATCATTTCAACAATCATCTCATGATCTCATATCAGAAATGAAAATTCATTGAAATGTGAATGTGAATGTCTACTTACATTAACTTTGATCATACAAGGAATTGGGATCCCCTTTTTATGTTTACTAGTTTTGTCATTAAATTCTTTGCAAAATTGGGCGATGTTGATTCCTCTTTGACCCAATTGTGGTCCTAATGGTGGACCAGGATTAGCAAGTCCAGCCTGAATCCATACGAATAACGGTGTGGTGTGAATCACCTTCTCAGCGGCCTTACGAGCGCCTCTAGAAGCCATCGAGATCCAAATCAAAAAGTGTAGAATATAGACAAAAAAGCGAAATTAGAAATTCAATTCAATTAGCTTTCGAGATTATAAATGAACCATTAGTTATCATCAATTAATATGGTGATTTACATTCAAATTAGTCAACTTAAAACCAATTGATTTAAATTTTCACAACAAAAACAATCAAAAATCACATGTTAATGTTTAGGGACCATCACATCAGTGCGTTAATCAGTTTCTCAAAGTGAACCAAACTATTAAAACTTTAGTTATTTGAATCATAAACGAGATTGAATTGACTGAAAAGATTACAGGTCACATTCTCTTGGGCAGTAATTAAATGATCTCGTTTGAAATTAAGTTGACTAATTAAAACACTGGAAGTCTCTGTTTGAATTTGCTGGTCAATTTTGGGAAAAACGAAAAAAATTCTGAATGAAAATGAAAACTCATACATGTATTTTCATGATTAGTTTTGGATCGATCGTTGTGATAAACATGGCCGATTGTACCTCGAATTTGAGATGAATCGTCGATAGAAAAGCATATACAGTTTGGAAAAGGGTTGAACTGGTTGTCAACATTTAATTAGTTCCACTTTCTTTTCGATCAATTGTTTTAATACACAATGAGAGAAAAATTAAATTAGCAATTTATAAATTAGCTAGAATACAGAGAAAGAAAGAGAGAAATTAATTAATTTGTTGACTCAATAATATTAATGATAAGTAGTAGCGGGAAAGTAAAGGTTGATTGATACAAAGAAAAAGAGAAGATACAAAAAAATTAGCATCATTAGTGATTAGTTAATTGTTAACAATTAATTATAGGCTTTCGCCATCTTTTTCCGTTTCCAATTGGAAGGGACTAATCCGGCCTCTCGAAGTCTCTGTTTGTCCTGAAGAATCGACTTCAGTCGAGATAAAATCTGAGGCGAAGCTCCAGTCCCTCGACGAACGTGTTTCCCCATCAATGGCCGAGAAGTGCGTCGATTATTATTAGAACAATTAACACCATTGATAATTAAATCGTTACAATTATCAGAGGCAGGGGAATGAATTGATGTTTGATGATCATCGGCTTCAGTGGAATCAGTACAATCACCATTCAAGTTAATTGTGTTTCCATTGTTTTTAATATTTTCATTTTCGTTTTCGTTTTCATCATCCTCATCATCGTCCTCATCTTCATCATGATTATGATTGTAACTATGGTTGTGATTATGATTGTGATTGTGGTTGTGATTGTGATTATGATTGTAGCTGTGATTGTTGTGGTTGCTGTTACCGTTGCCGTTGCTGTTGTGATTATGATTATGGTTATTGTTCACCTGATTGTGGTGATTAGTGTCCTTACTATTGTTGTTGTTGTTTAAATTATCGGCATTTTTGTTGCTAATCAAGTTCTTAGTATTTAAATTGTTATTATTAAGCTTATTATTACTCTCGTTGTTGTTGTTATTATTTTCATTCCATTTTGATTGTTCAACAATTGTTGGGGGCGATGAAGATGATGAATCTAAATGAATTGGTGATTGTATTGGTGATTGAATTAGATGAATTGAATGGTTTAAATGATGATTAAGATGATGGTGATTTAGTGGAAGATGATGACGATCGTTGTGGTGATGGTGATGATGATTAAGGTGATGGTTGAGATGGTGATTTATGTGTTGATTAATATGATGATTTATTTGATTGTTTAGATGAGTCAAGTGTGAATGATGGTGATGATTATGAGTGTGGCTTGTGTGATGACCATTGGTAATTAGTAAATGATGAGTCGCATGCAAGTGATGGCGATGAGTTGAATCAGTTGGAGCTAAATCAAGGGGGTGGTCATGAGATGAAAGGTAAACTGGAGATGATTTAATTGGATTAAAACGTTTAACACTTAAATCCAATGGAACTTCCTCTTCAATTACGTTGTAATTAACTCGAGGTAAATTTTCATTGATGTAGAGACGGAATTTTGGCTTCATTTCAATTAAAAGAAACAAACTGTGAATAATTAAAGAAAAAGTTGACAAATTAAAATAAATTAAAATCGAAAGATAAATTAAAAACAATCAACAATCAGAGAGGCAATTATACTTCATGTTTAATGTTCTTGATCTCAAGAAAATATTGAGAAAAAGTTTATCAAAATAAGTCTATGGAAAAATTATTCGAATGATGAAGATGCGAAGATGATGAGAGAGTGAGAGAGTGAGAGAGTTAGTGAGTGAGTGAGTGAGTGAGCCGAAAGGCTGTAAAAAACACGTTCGATCTTCGCTCTCTTTTTTTTGCTCTCCTTAGCTTGGGCTTGAGCATTGATACAACCCGATCACTATGATAACGATGCAGAGAGAGAGAGAGAGAGAGAGAGAGAGAGAGAGAGAGAATTGAGGAAGATGATGATGAAAGAAGAAGGGATTGCCATCTACTCTTTGGTCCATCTTTCTACATGGGATTGGCCTGAAGGGGCAATAAAGAAAAGTAATAATATTGTCTAAAAAATGGGTCCGTTTTTTAAGCCACAAATGTGATTCTACCACTGGACTGGACTCTAGAGTGGACATTGAGTGAGTTAAGGAGAGGGAAGAGGAAGGAGGGAAATAGGAAGGTGAGAGAAGAAGGAGGCGGAGGAGGATGAAGTAAAAAAGTATAAAGAGGGAGCGAAGATGATGTTGTCTTGAAAGGAGTAAGAAAGAGAAGGAGAGTTAAAAAAGTAGCCTGAAAAGTGGCCTTAGTGGCCTTTAGAAGACCTTTTCCTCCATCTGTCCAGTGTGAAGGTGGTGATGGAGATCAACCTTAGGGGTTAACAACACTTACTCACTCACATAGATATTAAAAAGAGTGACCTAGTTACCAACCTTGGGATCGGTCGATAACTTTTCAGGATCAACTGTTTATGGTCATTGTACAGGACATTCAGTAAATAATAACAATAATAATAATAGGGAGTCGATGGGAGAGAGAGGAAAAGGATTGAGTGATTCTCATCATCATATTTGATTCGGATATTAATATAAAAAAACAGACGCTTGTGTCTGATGTCAAATGATGAGAAGGGTGGGGAACGGGGTGAGTGGGTGGTTGGTCTAAGGTTCGGCCGATCGCAGAGCGGGAGATAAAGGATGAAAAGCAATCGGACCCTTTCAACTCATCATCCTGTCGATGTGAATCCCTGTTACGAGATTACAAATAACTATTATGATTCATTATCATCATTGTTGTTGTTGTTTATTTGCTCTCATATTGATGATCACCTTTTCCTCTCCTTCTTGACCATTGGTCGATCCTCCACTCACGAAGATCAGCTTAACCCTCCCCAGACTTTGTGAGTTGTTATTTGCAATTATAACTCGCAATTAGTTTAGTGTCCACAGTGATCACAATTTCTTACAAAAGATTAAGTTAAATAATGATTCTAATTTCGAGGGAATTCCGATTCGAGAGATAATCACGCAATAGATTATCCAATTAAATAACGAATGGTCAGTTAGACTAAATGTCCGATTGAAGCATTTAAAAGGACAAGATGATTAAATTGCATCGAAAACTTTTAAAGAAGAAAATTGAAGTTTATGATCAAACTATTGATAAATTTTCACCAAAGATACGATCTAATTAAGACCAAATTTAGTAGTGATAATCAACTTGTAAGCTGAATAGATGATAGAGAAAATTGAATTGTTCGGTTAATCAAATTATATAACAATCGAGTCTGTAATCGATAAAAATTATGATAACTATTAAAATTACGATTTAAATTAAGTTAATTGTGTTTCTAATGATCTTCGTCCTTGAAATAATTGACAACGATTACAATTCTCGAGTAACAAAAGTTAATAAAACTTACGCATTGAAATCAAAGGTAATTAATGATTGATGACAATTTAAAAATCTCAACTCGATTTTCTGATATTCTTATTGTTGTTACTTGAAAAGGAAAAGTAACAACATGAATAAGGAAAAGAAAAGATATTTAGTTGCTTCATAATCTTCATCTTTTATTCATCTTCCCACATTTCCTCCTCCTCCTCATCCTCCTCCTGTCTTCTTCTTCTTATTCATCATTTTCGTCTTTAAATGATGAAAAGATGAAGCTTATGCATTGGATTGTATTATTTGTGACTCTCGGACCTTCCGGTTATGTCAGGGTTAAACAATCGTAAACAACAACAACAACAACAGCTGATTGCATATCCTCACCCACGTACCACCCCCACTACTACCATCAGCGTCATCTTCTTCTTCTTCTTCTTCTTCTTCTTCATCTTCTTCATCTTCTTTATCACCCTCATCCTCATCCTCATCACCTCCTACTACTCCTCCACTTTATTATACATAATAAGTTATCCACCAAGGGTGGGAGAGGCTCTTTCATCACATTGGATACAAAAGGAAAACTGAACAATTGTAAAAAACTCATGCGACACTTTTGACCAACTCGACAACAGCCAATGACCAATGACCAATGATCATTGGTCATTTTCTCTGATCATCATCAACAATCAAATAAACAATTCAATTTACTTTTCCTTTTCTTTTCCTCTTTATAATCTTTCAACTTTTTTTCCATTCAAAAAAAAGACTTGCATAAGTTTCTTCGTTCTTCCGGTTTTACAATTCAATACAATTCGATTCATTTTTTGTTAACTCTCCTTCTTTTTTTAATAACAATCAACAACTAAATCAAACCAACAGCCAATATAATTCACTTCAAAATTGACAGAATGAAAAAAGTTCAATATGAAAGTGCACCAACTTAAAGGTAACTTTCATTTCCGTCTTTCCCGATTTCAGATCAATAATCGTCATCGAAACATGATTAACATTTCATCGTTAATCAATATGGAAATGAAATTAAACTTTAAGCCTTTCACTTCAATTGTATTGTTGCTACTCTGATGAAGTTAATTTAATTCATTTATTATTAGAATTGCTCATCTACAACTAACTACAATTGAATAAACTGTTGATACTTATTTTAAGGTTTAACTTTTTTTGCTTTTTTAATTCAATTAACTTAACACTAAAAGACAATCAAGTTAATCAAAAACCAAAACAATCAAAAGAAGATGAAACTAAATAAAAATAACGATCAAATTGTGTAACAATTTATTTCTGTGATTTTAAATCATTAAATTTGATCGTTCAATTTGTTTTTTTCATACAAATTTCACATTAATACACAAATGCATTAATTGTTGTTTACTAGATTTTAATTTCAAATGCAATTAATTGATTTCCAATTTGTGACCCACTTTCCTGATCGAGTCTAATGTAAGAACTGAAAAACTTTCACTTCTTCCCAATTGAAATAAAAAATTAAAAAAACTCAAAACCCGGAAGAACTTTAATCAAACTTAATTGTGTTGTTAATAAGCTGATTAAAGAAAAAAGTTAAATTGCAATTAAAGGCAAATAATTTAGTGTGAAACATTCAAACATGGTTACAGATCCAATCTGTCACAAACAATAAAGATGATCAATAATTAAAAACCAATCAAAGTGTAGTTGTAACAATTTAACTGATAATCTAAACCATTTTTGGTTTATTATTGAAGAAAAGATAAAAAAAACTTTTCTTTGTTACTTTTAGTTTTATGTTGAGCTTTCAAAAGGTAATAAAGACTTTAGAAACTCAGCCAATCCTATATACGAGGTCAATCAATTGGTCAGTCGTCAACTGGACACTACAAAGCAACAAAGAGCCAGTAACTTAACCAGGTAACTGTAAATGGTTATAAATGGTAAATCCATTTACCGTTACCTGGTTGTGTTGGGATAATAAAAAATACTGTTATCCTTTTCTTGTTGCTCTCTTGCCTTTAGTTTTACCGTTAACTTTACAAAACTCAAGATCTTTGGATAATAAACAAATAATTGTTAAGAAAAAGCTCGAAAAGTACTTTCTTATTCAATTAGAACCAATTCTAAATCATTTTAATTGACGTTTAGTAAACTGATTAGACAAAAGGTATTCTGTCAATGATGCAATTGTAGCGATGGAATTTAAAAGTTAATTAGTTCCAGTGACCTAAAGTTATCTAAGGTTCGATAGATTGTCGATAATTATACAAGGAAAGTAGAAGATAATTGTTGCCAATATTGATTGTTTGATGTTTAGAATGAATTTAAACTTGATTACTTACCGTTGGTGTTAATTGTTGCTATTGATTGGTGATGTGTACTACAGTGTTTTTGTTGATTGGTCAGCTTAGTTTGAATTGTATTGATTAGTTAATCCAGGCCATGGTTTTGAATTGTAATTAAAAGAAAGAAAAACAAACAAAAGGAACAAGCATAATCATTCATTAGGATTAATTTAGTATTAATTATTAAATTAGAAATAATAATCAATCAAAATCAACAATCAATCCATCAGAGATTATTAAGCAATTATACTTATTTCTTGTATTTGACAATTTGGTCTCTCAATCAGCAATTAGCAATCAATTTGGTGAGATGAACAAAGTAACAAAAAGTGTAATCCGAATTGATGAACTTGACAATTTTTGTAATTATTAAATCCATTAATTGTAATCAATACACACAAGAATACAAGAGCAGATTAAATTATAATCACAGAGAGATCACAATATTGAAGCACCAATTTGCAAATTGTATTCCAATTAATTTAATTGTCGATGATTTTTGGAAGAATCAGATTATGGATTATGTTGATTCTAATCACACAAGATCCCTCTCCCTCTCTCTCTCTCCCTTTCCTCCCTTGGATGAAATTGATGAGGATGATACAGATGAAGAAGATGAAGATGATGATGATGATGACAAAGACAATGAAGAAAGAGAGGGAGAGATGTGGAAAATGAAAAAGTTCCTATGCAAAAATGTTCATAACATGAGAAAAATTAACGGAAAATAAACGAAAAAATATTCTTCTTCTCTTTACGATTACAATTACGAACTAAAGTTCGAAAAGTGACCTGGGGGAAGTTGAGAGACTCACTAATCATCATCATCGTCGTTTCTCCTCCTCATTCAAAAAACATACACAAAAAGAAAGAGAAGATAAATAAAAGTGAAAGAAATAAAGAGAGAGAGAGAGAGTAACTACAATCGAAGCCGTGAATCGCATCAGGAAGTGTTATACAAATATTTTGGGCATTCCCGCTTCTTCCTCCTTTTATCATCATCTGAAAAAAGAGAGTGAAAGTGAAGAGGGAAGAAAGATGATGATGAGAGACCGAAGCGGGGGAGAAAAGCGAGAGTCTGTAAAAAGACTGGTTCGAATGCAGTTACTGTTCCAATTTAGGTCAAATTGAGCTAAAAAAGTTTCAGCGTTTTGATTCACCTAAACACAATCGTAAGGTAAGTAGATTAGACAGAAGAGAGAGAGAGAAAGAAGGAGGGAGAGAAAGAGGAAGACAGAAAAATGATGATGAGAGAGACACATTATTATTATTATTATATCATCATCATCATTATTATATTTGAATTGGCCTTGTTATTGTTGAAATGGACACGAATTGACTTTTATGTTGTGTTAATAATACAAATTTATATATAAAAAATTGTGATTCAGGGAAACTCCCAAAAAGTGAAAGCGTGGGGAGGGATTAATTTAAGATTATCACAATTTGTTAATTGTTGACGATTGAATCATATCAACCTAGGTTACTGGGTTATCCTCACAATCAACATTTCCGGTAACATCATCATTCAGTTTACATTATCATTATCATTTCAGTGTCCACTTTAACCACCTACAATGACCCTACTGTCAATATCATCACTATTAATATTTGATTTGATCAGAACAATTAAACTTAATCACAATTTAAATTTACATTCAAACTTTTGATTGTTCATTTCATTGTAAACTTTGTGTAATTATAATAAGTTACCAATTGATTTGATCATTTTGTCTTAATTGTTACTCCCTTTAATCAAATGAGTTATCAAACCATTTAAAGTTGATTAAGTTAATTCAGTTAAAAGTAGCAATCCTATTATTAGGTCAACCTACACACAAATTACTAATTGTTAATACATGTATGAAAATGACTCAACAAAATTTAAATATAAACAATTAAATTTTATATTTTTATACAATTGTGATCAAGTTAATTAACAGTTAACTCATCAGCCAACAATAGTAATCATTAGCAACTAATCAAAACTTTATGAAATTAAACAGTTTGGACCAATTAACATATTCGATATTGATTATCATCAAATTTTAATTCTTTCTTGTATTTACCGTTATCTTAATCTTAATCTCCCATTGTGTTAATCACTAATTAACTAATAGCTTCATTCGTTAAGGTAAAAGTAACTCTTTTCTGCTCTTCCATCATCATCATCATCAGTAAATCATCTTAATTAAAGTTGATAATCAACCAATCTATAAATACAATTGAGTTAATTGTAACCGGAAACAAATGAATCAAAACTTTTTCCTAATCAAAAGTAATAAAATAAATTGTAATCATTAAGCTTTTCCAATTGTAATCACAGATTAACACTTTAATTAACTGGAACTTTAGAAAAGTAGAAAAAAATAAGTGTCCTTGATTTAATTTGGTAACAACAATTAAATCAATCTGATAAATTATCGACTATAATGATTATCAAGTTAATTAGCTGTTAGTGATACAATTGGAAAACTAATCATAATCAAGAGTAATAACAATTAATGATAGAATACAAGAAGTAAATAGTTTGCAGCTTAAAGCAATTGATAAGAATAAGAAATTGGATTAACTGAACTAAAGATAACTCGTCGTCGTCGATTATATAATTAGTTGATTATAATTAGGTAAAAATATATAACTTATTTAAATACAAGGCCTTGGCCTGATCATAATAATAAATATAATTGTCGACTGGTTGATTCGTTACAATTTATTGATTCTCTTCCGGTTTAATCATAAGAAGAAACAAAAATTGAAAGGAAAAACTGAAGAAAAACAAAACTGGTTAGTGTTTATTATTAAGCTTATGACGATGAAGATGAAAAGGTTTCGATGAAAAGACTTTCTTTTCCTCTTTTATCTTCTTTCTTTCACTTCTTTCTTTATCATCATTCTAATCATTGGCCTTATTCAGGTCACTTTTGGAACGGAACGAAAGTGAACACGGAAGCCTTTCTTTTCCTTTCTTTTCCTTTAGTTACCAAACTAAAACTTATGAATCTTTTCTCGTTTTTTGGGTTTTGTTTATATTTGATGCTTTTCACTTTCTACTTATTGATAACTAAAGGTAAAGATTATTATTATTAACTATTAATTAACTTCCTGATCTTCCCTTAAAGGCTGAAACCAAACCTAATTATTATCGAGTTAATCAAGGAATTACAATGTCAAGATGAGAATTAATCAGATTGATTAGAGATTCATTTTTGTTCTTGTTACTTTTTCCCATTCAACCTTATTTTCACTCTTGTTTATTTTTTTGTTCATTGTGAAGATTTAATAACAATTCAATTGTTATCATGATTACAATTCAACTCAGTCTTTTGAATTATGATTTATCTTACTTTCTGCTCTCTTCCGGTAACAATTTAGCTTTACAATTAAATTTTGACAGCATAATCTAATTCCCATTAGATGAATACACTTATGGTAAAAAATTGGTTTCAGGAAGGTTACGTTAAGAAAAACAAACAATTAACATTTATTTTGATTTCTTTTAATTGATAAACTGTCTTAATTATTCATATTCATATATCATCTTAACAATTGCAACAACAATCAACAATCATGGGTTTGTATTGATATTATTTTATGAATAAAATTGATTGATGAACTTTATCTCAGCCTATTGTAGTTGGTTTTATAATTGGTGAAGGGTAGAAAATCATGAAATCCTCAAGCTTTCATCTTCATCACTATCATGATTTGGAAACTTGATTCATTTAAAAACATTTTCTAATTTTCTTTAATTTTCTATTTAAATTTTGTTTAAGTTCTAACAATTAGTTAATTGTGCCTATGATTAAGCTTAAAGCTTTTTCTTTTTTCTATTCAACAATTTAACTTTGTTTAATTCCTCCACAACTATAATTGTAACCTCATTGTTATAATTAACCAATACGCTTAATTAGTATCCCTAATTAACAATTGAATTAATTATAATTAACGAATCCTGATTGTTAAAACCAATCAGATTTAACCAAAAATTGATTTTATATCTAAAGATATAATTTTGATTCCGATTCTTAATTGTTACAATTTACAAATTTCCTTAATTGTAAAACCCAAATCTCTTGAACTTAAGTTACCAAAATTTGGTCACCAAAGAAAGAGACCCGTTTTTCCCTTTCTTTTCCTCTTTCTTTTCCCTTTCTTTTATTTTTTCATCTTTAGTACTAATAAGCCTACAAGCTTATCTTCAAGTTCATTTTTTATCTTTAACCAAAAACTCAACCACAAGTCTCACTTTGTCGAGACATAAGAGTTACATTATAACCTTTACCTTTATCTCATCATTAAGAGATTAATTTGTTTTCCCTTTCTTTAATTGTGAAACCCCTTTTTTCTTTGTTCTCTGTTCCTATTAGAACAAGATTTTTCCTCTTTCTCTTCAGTAATGTTTTAACATTCAAATAGTTAACTTACTCGATTAAAATTTCTTTTCACAAAAACGTGTTAATCTCAATTCCATCCATCAATCTGAATTATTCAGAAATTCTAATTTTCTCCATCTTCTCAATCAATTCAAGAGAATTAAGTTAAATAGTGAAAACGAAGACACTTAAGTGAGTCTAGATTTGAGTGCTCTTGTTATTCAGTGATCCTAAACGAATCTGTTATCGGTTTTGTGGGACCGAAAATCTTCCTTCCGAAGTCTAGAGACTTTTCCGAGTTCCAACTCAAATCCATCCATCGATCTAAAAGTGATCATCAACCCCCTCATCTCAAATCTAACCCCACAAATTGGCGACCTAGGCAGGATTGCAGAATTTCTAAGTGCTTCCCTTTTCTTTACCGAATCTCAGATTCATTGTGCTTTTGTTTTCTCTCTTCTTTTTCTGAACCCTCTTGAGTTTTTCTCCAATCTCCATCATGCCCCCTAAACGTGGAAGAATCGCTGCAATCACTCGTGTTGCTAATGCCCGCGCTGCGAAAGCTGCGAAAGCTTCTCGACCTCGCCCCACCCCAACTCTCTCTCAACCTGAACAATCAGAGGACGAAACTATTGTTCCTCAATCACCTCAATCCATCTTTACTCCGGTCAACCCGCGACCACCAACTCGTGTGTCCACTGTGATTCACACCCAAAAATCTCTCAGAGATCTTTCATTTAATGAAGTTCTCGACCTCTTTCATCTGTGGAAAGCTCCAATTCCACTCAGATCTTTAGCTACGAAAAAGCTAATCGACATCGTGTCAACCCATCTCCTTCTTCTCGACGGTGAAACTGCTTCATCTGAAGAAATCCTGAACATCCTCGTAGAGGAAATAAAAAATCAACAAATTCCAAATTGGATTTTGGAATTCAGATCCCAAAGCATCTCCGAATGCGAAATTCAACTCTTCTTAAAAAATATTGGAAGAGATGATGAGACAATTTTTAATTTAACTCATCCAGAACTTTATGCACTTCCTCTTCCCCTTGGTGTGCTTAATAAAATTAAGAATATTCTAAATTCTTTTGGTGCTCATATTAGTGAGCCATCACCTCCATCCATCAATCCAACAGTCAGTTCGAATGACAATCTCACCCCTGCTACTTTCTTCGAGTTGATGAAACAACTGAAGACTGACCCTCATGTTCCTGAGTTCCGATCAGGAGAGGACCAATATTCATGGTTGGTTAAAACCAAAGATCGATTGTCCAAGGAAAACGTGGACGATGAAACCCGATTACGACTTCTCCAAAAGTCTATGGCGCATGAAATTAAAACAAGTGCTGCTGGTCTCGAAGAAATTACCGACTACAACGAGTACGTAAATTCCCTCTTCGAAAAATTGAAGACCCCCGAGAGTCAATATAGTGCCGACTTCGAGCTGAGAAATTGTCGGTACAATCCCGAATTTCATCCCGAAAAATTTTTCTCTGATATGAGAAGATTAATTACCAAAGCGTTTGGTCCAACTAATGATTCCCTCTTTCTCAATCTCGTTCTCCAACATATCCCCCGATATATTAGAGACGATATATATACCTTAGGTATAAATGATGATAAAACTCGAATTTATAATCATTTGACTCGAATTCATTTTGATTATAAAAATAATCAAAATAAACAAAAAGTTTCTAAAAATCTCCCAACTAAAAATGTTAGTAATCAGGATAGAAGTTCCGTTGCTAAATTGTTAAAGAATAACAATACCTTCCC